GGGCCGGGAGTCCCATCCTTGGAGAGGAGTCTGGGGAGGGTCCGGGATTGGCCCAAGGGCGACTTGGGATGTGATGGAACCCCTGTAGCGCCATCGGCGGTGTCCCCACTCCCGCCAGCGGTCGTTCAGAGCACGCAGGGCCCGCGGCCAATCTCGTGCCCCTCCCGGAGGTCCCTTCCTATCGGAATGTGGCGCTCGGAGTCGCCTCTGCCGCGCGCCGCTGCCCAGTCGCGCGTCCTGGTGCGCCTGACTTCCCTCACACGCCCGCCAGTTCCTTAGGGCTCCCGCGCTGGCGTCGTTGGCCGGTTCGCAGCCTTGGACTCGCGTCAGTCTTACACAGCAGTCAAATGTCAGCGCATTTGAGGGCCTGCCGATGAGGGGCGGGGCGGGGGGGGTAATGCACGGCGGCGTCTGCTGCTCTTCCACGCGGAGTTTCGGGGGAAGAGGCGCCCACGGCTGGCGGGTACGTTGAGCACGCATTACGTAACAGTGTGGCCCGGTGCCTTTCGCTCTGAGAGCCCGTCACGGGGTTCGGGATGCGGTGCGATTCCTGACTAGTTAGTCATGTTATAACACGGGGGAAGGAGGCCTTCACCAACATGAATCGCGGTGACGGATTCTTGAAAGGCTTGACGCTACACGTGGCAGCTGGCGTTTGTGGACGCGGTGTTGGGTGTGCATTTAATTTGGTGCAGCAGAGACAATTTCTTGTCCCAGGCTGATGATGCTATCTTGATTGGATTTGATGGTTTTGGTACGTTGGCCTCGATGTTTGGCTTGGTTGGAATCTTGTCTTTCTATGTTTGAGAGCATCTGTTGATCTTGAGGGCATCAAAAAGCTTAACAGATCTTGTACATTACCGGCTGCTTGTGCGAACTGTCGCCCCTCAGAGCGTGTTGCTTGGGGTGGTTTTGTGACGGACTTGCTCTTTGTGTCATGACGGAAAACGGCCTCCAATCAGCTGTAATACGCTTCACCCGTCTTGCGCGGGTGTCGCCCGTCAGGGTGGCGGGGTCGAAGAATCACTCGCAGGGGGATAGTGCTCACCGCCACCTCGACCGTGAGTCGAAGTCCAAAGGGGAAAGAACGCCCATGCCAAATTTCAGCACTAAACGTCAGTATTGCTAGCGTCAAAGCGCCGGCAGCCACCACCTGTGATGGCTGTTGATGCGCAACTGATGCTGACGAAAGCAGGTGTGGCGACACCTGCTGGGGATGGCCAGCCCTGCAAGGGTTTCAGCTGAACGGGGACCGTAGGATCGAGTCCACGGCAACGGTTCACAGCCGAGCAAAGGGACAACAAAGTTCTGCCCCTTATATACAGTCTGTTCACCAAGGTGCTGAATGCAGTTCCTAATGCTTCTTCACCATTTTCTGCGTTCACCTCTCAACAACACTCGGTCAGTTCTAAATACAGCAGTACCATGCACCACTGTGGTGCCACTATGTGCATATCTTGAGACTGTGCCTGCGCTGATAATGAAAATGCCGAAGCCCAACATGGCATGCTGGTGTCAAGAAACGTTTGTATTGATGCAAGCACCAGGAAAGAAGGTTCAAAAAATAACATGTGTTCAAACGTGCACAAATTTTGCAGGTTTGGATCATTCTTGTGTTCCTAGCATGCAGAATAGTGATGAAATGCCTTTCATATGTGTTCGCAAGAATCCTTATTTGGTCCTTTTTTTGCTGGTGTAATCTGCAATTGTTTGCTGATGCGGTACAAGACGAAAACCTTCCTAATGTATTGTGCTACCTGTGTGTGACATTTGCAAGCTGGCATTTAATGCATGCATGAACACGAGTTTGCATCAGAATAGCAACAAACACTGGCAGAAAACGGCTCGTTTGCGATGCCAACAGCGATGCCATTTTTTTTTTTGACACAAAGGGACACCTTCACAGTGATTGCGATGGCATAAAAGTGGCTGTGATGACATCAATTTGTGTCAAATGGCGTAGCAATTGGCATCGCAGACGTGCCGTTTTCTACTGGTGAAAAACGTGCAGTCACTCAGAAGGTGCCACATTTGCTGGTCGGTGGCGACGGCCGCCAGGCGTCCGAGTAGGATCATCACAGCGTAGACCCGCCGAAAATTTGACAAGGAAAAGGGAAGCGAAAACTACTGCATGTCTGAGAGCAAACTTCGCGGAGATAAATGTCCGGCATACCCAGATAATTTTCCAGTCCATTGTGCACAATGGATTGCAAGTAACAGGTGTTAGTTGTAGTCAGTAGTCAGCCCATCGATACCCCGCTTTAACTACTCAAGATGAAATCTCAATGGGCTGCAGTCAAAAGGTGAGGAGGACCTCAGGAAAGGGCCTTCCCTGCGTAGTCACGCAGATGCACATTTCCGGATGCCCGTTTTCCACGGCAGGCACCGTGTTACTTGGGCTTGCGGACGTGCAAGCCTCGCAGTCCCAGTGTCCCAATCTGTTGGCTATTAGGAACTCTCTTCTTCCTCCGGTTAAAGTTTGGAAATGGAGCCAAAACTAACTGATGTCGAAAAAACAAATCTATAATAACAATTCGACGATGTCAATATGGCACAAGCCACTTAGTTCAGAAAATTCTCTTCCATAGTGTGTGCGACAGTGCTGACTTCATTATTGGCACCCGCCAGGCTGCAAAACTCCAAGACAGTATTGTCGTCCATGCAATGACCTGTGGGGTTGAAAAGAATGTTCCTTTCCACCGCCAGGTCACGGCATGGACGATAGTTTATCATTAAACCAACCAATCAAAGTTGATGACCGTAGATAAAATGAACGGGCTTGAAACTCAATAACTCTAAATTCAACTGTTGGAGTATTCATAAATACGTACGTTGCTTCTGTTAGAGCACTTCGTGGATGACGCCGGGGCAAACTCCCCTCCGGCCATCAGGGCCCCGAGGAGATTACTCAACTCTGACACACCCCGTGAGGCAGGAGACGAGGGCTCAGGCCCGGACACCGCAAGATCGAAGGTTACAAGACCGGTGAGTATAGGGGGGCGGGCGGGTGACGTTTGTTGCTTGTAACAAAGCACGTACGCGGGCGCGGCAGCCGTCGCTCGCGGCGCAAGAGCAACTTGCCGCGCGTTGTGTCGCAATGCGCATTTGACGTGCGTCAGTCTATCCCTGCGCCTGATTAGGCAAACGCCATTCTCAGTTGAGAAACGAATTACTGATTCTGATGAAGAAGAGGACCATGAATTTGGAACCGAGTCACATCGGCTTGAGCAGCTCCACTGATGTAACAGAGGTACGAAAGAGACCTTGCCAGATTTTGAGTTTTCATGACGGTAACTGATGAATGTTGTGCCATCCAACTTGTCTTCAGATTGTGTTCGGGCAAAGGCCCGTACTGAAGCAAGAGGTTGCAAGCAAGTCCGAACTCTTGCAGGAGGCACTTTGGCAGAGACTCTGCGTTGTGCCAAGAGATATGAAAAACTGTGGATTATGGACAGGGCCGCCAGGGTTGCATATGCTTCTGAGCGGGGCTATGCCAGCTGCACTGCGTGTCTGCGCGGTGGACCAACAAAGGCGTTGCTGTACAATGGCGTGTCATTAAAGTTTCATCTTGATTAGTGCGAATTGGACCAGGGCGGATGTCGACAGTATGTGAGAGGCACGGATGCCATGGAAACGCAAGCAACTATTTGCTGACGATCCTGCTTATAGGGGACCAGGTAAGGGTGTTGGTCGCAGCCCTTCCCGGGCAGGGGCGCCGCTTGTTTAACGTTGCAAGGTAATAGGGACAAGCGGTGCCATGAGGAAACAGAGGGCGCTGAATTCTCCATTAGCGACGAACATCGCACACGCAATGGCATGAATTGAGCAAGAACGAGATATTGCACAGAAGCAGAAAACACAAGGCCGAATTGCTGCCGTCAGTTTCAGGATAATTTGAAAAAATGTGATAAAGTTGTACCACAATGCAACAACGTTACATTCTGAGGCAACATGACAGCATTGCCAGATTACAGCAGTCACTGCCAAACAGTGCACTGTGCTATTCGGCGAATCTGTAACAGCTAAGTTTTTCCCAAGAGAAGATTGGCCAAACCTAGCCAGTCGGCATTGTCTCACAGGGTTTTCACAGATGGTGGGTCGGGCTTACGCAAACCGTGCGTGAAACTTCACACAAATGACATCATCCGCTGACGCCATGCGAAACAGTCATTTACAATCATTCACGGCAGACTGACAGGAACGCCTGCCGCCTCAGCCACTGAACACCCTTCAAACTTGCGCTGAAATACAGCATGTCCTTGGCCCAGGCGACGAAAATCGAAAGTCCGGGGCGCTTAACCGCCTGACGCTGACCGATTCGAGCAATGCACCAATCACTGCCAGCAAGCACCTGCATGATGCCGGGGACCGCCCCTTCCCCCCTGCCATCTTGTACGTTTCCGGCGGGAATTCCCACCCAAAATGCCATAAATTAACACCCATAAATTAACAAATGCCACCAAAAACTGTCCGGATCCGCAACAGACTGGGTGCCTTGACCCAGTGCGGGCTTTCACTGGGATTGTGAACTCGTCGAGATCCCCATGGCTGAAAAAATGCGACATCAAATCTGGGCTGTATCCAAGTTGCATCCACGCCGAATCCGACCTTTGTACGGCCGCATCCAACCTCTGTACGAACATATCGGATCGTACCCAACAATAGCCCTTCACATCCGTATCGTACACCCCGCCCCCACCCTGCGCCTCTCTGTGCACGGCGCGCGTCCAAGCCATCGCCCCAAGGCCCCCAAGTCGCCCAGAACCCGGATTGCCTGGTGCTCACACAGCTCAACACGGGCCTAAGGTTGCCGCACCCAGAACACAGGCACTACCCGAGGCTTTCTGAATTCAAGGCTCCCGAATCTCCCCCCCCCCCCGCGCACCTCACGGCACGCTATTAAATGAATCATCGACTGACGCTTGAGCGAGCGAGACGTTTCATGTGACACATCTTGGTGTGTTGCTGCGCCTTCCAAGTTTGGGCAAGCGGCCTTGCTATCAAGTCTGCATTAGGCCCGCGTACAGGAGAGCGTCCGACGCCAGGAAGATGGCCAGCACCAGCGCCACGTCCATGTTTGCCGCCACACGCAGAAGACCGTCCCGACCCTCCTCCGCGCCAGAGCACACCAGCTGCGCCACTGCGGGCCGCCGGCCGCCGCCCACCGAGTACACCACCAGGTCCTTGGTCGCGATGTTGGCGGACACCGTGAAGTCGGGCTCACCAGCGGTGACGCCGGAGGGCTTGATCGCCGCGGGCAGGTACACCTTTGACGCGGAACGAAGGTTTTTCAACGGCGTAAGAAGCAAGGGAAGGAAAGAAAAGAAAAGCTCAAAAAGCAAAGACAGCAAAGAGAGCAAAGAGCAAGAAAGAACAGCGCCAACAAACAACATGCATTCGAATGGGGGAACGAGGGAAGGAGAGCGTGTCAAGCGAGCGGTGCGCGTAACCTGAGCGGGCATTGCGCGAGACATTTGTTCGACGAGATGCGCTCCGACCGCGTTTGCAGTCGCGTGACGAGTGTTCTGGGGGCGCAGCAAGGCGCTGCTTGTGCACCCGGCACGCGACGTCGAGCTCAACCATGCCGGTGTGAGACTATGCAGAGGACCATCCAAGTGTGACGGTTAGGTGCACAATACGGAGCATCACATACAGCTAAAAGGCGCGCATTCAGCGGAAGGGGCGGAAGGGGAAGTGGGTTCGGGAGGAGGTGCTGTGACCGACCATTGAATCCCGGGTTGCAGCATGAACCGCGAGACAAACGAACGCAGACTGGTGAAAGGGTTTGAGGGACGCCTGCAGGCGCACCTTGACTTGTGGCCGGGCGGCGAAGACGGGTCGGCGCACAATGACGGCCTGGTCGCGGCCCCTGCGAGACTCGGCCTTGATCTTCCAGGTGGGCTGCAGGCCGAAGGGGCGGACGAATTTGAGGATGGTGCGGTGGTGCGGGTCCAGGAGAGACGTGCGGCTGGCGAAGGTCCAGGAGGCGCGGTGCACCTGCGGGCGGACAACGGGTCAGTCACCTGCAGGCAGTTATGGGTCAGTCATCTACAGGCAGTAAACGGGTCAGTCACCTGCGGGCAACGAATGGGCCAGCCACCCGGTCCCTCGAGTCTTTCCGTCAGTGAGCCAACGGGTCGATCACATATACGGTCAATTGCCTCAATCTTTCGTTCCACCCCCGGACGTTTCATTGCATCTATGATCTGGGTGGACAGGGAGAGGGAGAGCGTTGGCCAGTTGTGGCCCGGCGTCGGCTTTCCGGCCGCCGACAGGCTGAACAGCAACTCTGCGAGCAAAATGGTCGGTCAGGAAGTGAGCCCATGAGCGCATCAGTTGCCCCGTTCAACTCGTCACGTCAGTGGGTCAGTCAGTCAATGGTTCAGTGGAGAAAACGGGTCAGTGGACTGGCCAACAGGTCAATCGGTGGGTCACTTGATCCATCAACCAATGGGTTAGATGGTATATCAGTCAAGTGGTGGGTCAGTGCAATAGGGGTCCAATGACTCCGTCGGTGGATCAATCAGTGTATCATACTGCCAGTGTCACTATTTGGTCAGTTAGCGAGCTCATCAAATGACCGTCAATCATGCCGGTTTCCTCAACTCCGATGGTTAGAACAAACAGTATCCGTGTCCATCACATAGGTTCTTCCAAAAGCAACACAATAACAGCAGGGCTTGGACGCACTTTGGATAGCCTATGACCTGCCGATCTTAGCATATATAGCTGCAGGCAGCACAAGAGGAGAAACCGCAAACAGATCGCATCGCGACCCTCGAATCAAACAAGGCCCTGCTAAAAGAAACGTGCGGACAAGCCCTAGATGCACAGCACCGGCATATGGTAATGCTCAAGAGCGCCTGACAGTAGATGTGGTGCAGAAAGAGCCCTCCAGGGAAAGCAAGATCCTTCATGGTATGGCAACAGCACTTGAGGAAAATCCGCAAAGCGTGCATAGAAAACAAAACTCCAAGATTCAGTGCTGTGTTGTTGCCTTAAAGTTCTTGTCCCGCCACAGCAAGAATCCCACACAAGCTGCACACAAGGGCCCCAGGGGGGCAAGAAATGTCCTGACAGCCAACGTACATCAACTTGGAGGAGAACAGATTTGCGCCTGCCAATGCCAGCAAGCTCCATTGCCTTTGTTCACTGCGCACCTCGAAGATGGTCTTGCCGTCAGGGTCCTCTACTGACAGCTTCTGCATTCTGCCATACCAGATAGCAGACAGGCGGCGCTTGGAGCGTTTCTTCTTCTGCAGCGTGAGTGTCACATGGTGGCCCATGCAGTACTGGTCGCTGGTGAAGCACACAGGTGCGGGCGCAGGTGTCAGAGGAACATCCTTTTGTTTGGACGCTGCCGATCCCATGCAAGGCGATTGGCTCCCCTGCCCTTCAGTCACAAAGCCTGCATGCATCAACACTGAACCTCACTGGGCCTGATGGTTGCAGGCAGGGGTATTGTTGGCAAGCACGGGAGGCAGAAGTGTGATATGAAGTCTTCCGTGAAGATGATGAAGAAGGCCTCTGTCTTTCCAGGGTGGGGCAGTAGCGTGGGGAGGGGAGGGGCATGGAGACAAAACATAAGTGCTGTGTCACTGGGGTGTGCACTATAGCAAACAATGCTGTGCAGCTTCAACAACCACCACAAGCACATTTACCTCTGTTCGCTAAATGGGACACCCACTCCACCAACTAATCACAAAGACAAGCCTGTGCGAACGCCCACCAAGTTGTGTGCTGACAGTGTGAAGGGCTGGGCATGCAGCTTATCTGAGTGGGATGGAGGGATCCTGGCACGTAGGCATCGGGAATTCAGCAAGACTTGCAGAGCACTTCGCATACAGTTATCTGAGCAATGCCATCCTCACTGGAGCAAATATCTAGACAGAGACAACGAGAACACGCTAAACTTTAAGCAAACGGCATGGGAAGAGGAGACTGGAGCTCCTGTTGTTGATGCCAGGACTCAAACGCCGGCACGACATGCAATGGCTGCAGGGTTGGGTTTCCCAGCTGACAAACTGGTGATTGCTAAACCACGGAAAGTTGAGCTTCCCCTTAACATAGCAAATTTGGAAACACAACCTCCACAGATGATTGTGCATCCCTGTCATTGCTTGCACAATTTCCTGTTGTAGTTGATTTTTTTGCCTCATTCTTGTGGCAGGACTAAAGCACTGAATCTTGCTGAGTAGTAAGCTCAACAGGTAGTGTGTTTGCCATCCTGACAAAACAGCCTTCATCAATAACCTTTCCAAGTGAGCTCAATCGCCTTGTTCTTACATGCTAAACATGTTCTTCGCATCCGCCTAATTCGGTACAGGAACACCTTTCGCAGCTCGCCTGCACGCGCCAGCAGAGCTTTTCGCAGCTCGCTTGCATGGGCTATGGTGGCCTCCTGTATCTCGACCACTCTTGCCCCCATGGTTCTAAACAGCACCCTTGTGCGTCTAGACAGCGTTCTCGCCATCTTCCCACATGAGCCCCCCTTCCCCTCTGATCAAAGACTCGTCCGCTGTGCAGACAACACCGCAGACAGTGTGAAGCAAGGGAAACATGCAGCCTAGCATGGTACAACAGACTTTGCCGGTTGACTTTGATTGATGTGGACAGGACTGCCGTGGCTGTTTGACACTGTGACACACTGTGCCGTGTTTGACAACGTGTACGAGCTTGCCCCTGTCCAGCTCTGATTTGGGGCTGCTGTGTGCCACCACTCCGACTTTTTGCCATCCATTCCTTTTGACCGCAACCTGGCGGCGCTTGTCACGCAGCAGAGGTGCGTTGGCGGGTGGACGAAACATACCACCTCCTGGGCAGCACTGACACTGCAACCGTCACCCAATTGCCGCAGCTGGTGACACCCGCAGCGCCCAAGGGGTTCTCCATGTTCTGATAGCAAAGGGCGCGGCCTTCGGCCCTTCCACTCAACCAGGCTGCACTTGACGGGCTCTTTTTCTCCCTTCTCCTAGCGGTCGGAAAACAGGAGAAGGTCCACCCTTCTGCCGCCATCCAGTTCCCTTTTCTCCCCTTTGGTCGCAACTCGCCACGGCCCACCGCGCGTTGATGCCCCGCAGCTGTCACAGCTCTGGTACTAGCGGACGCGCCCGGCATTACCCCCCACCCCCCGCTGACAACGTTCGACGCGGCAAGTGGACACGGGCGCCTGCGACACGCCCTCCCCTCCGATTTCGAGCCATCCACGGCGAGACGAGAAAGCGTCTCAAAACTGCTTGCTGGGGGAGGGAACCATCCATTGCGTGATATTTTGTCAGTCTTTTGCGAAGGCAGCTTCTCGCCCTTACCGGTGACCGTTGGCCGCGTGGAGGGTCCGCCGAGAAGCGGGGGGCGCCAGCTGCCGCGGGATCAGGGCATCTGTGCGGACGCCCGGCAGCGGCGCCTGGAACACACCTGGCCAGACTGCACACAGCACAAGCCGCTGAGCCACGCTTCCCGGGCCCTCTTCCTCGGGAACGGCGCGCGGGCCAGCTCCAACCGCCTCCACGCGATTCGATCGCTGCCGGAAGGCGAATCGGGTCGCGCAACCGGACCACGGCCCCAAGCAAGGGCATTGGGGACCCCGCGAAGGACTCTGCGTGGTCGTGCATGGGTTCGCGAACGCATGAGGCGAAGCGCGAGCTGGGACTCACTTCCCGGCAGCCCGCGCCCCCGTTGTACGGCAAAGCGCATGCGCATATCGCGCGGTGCCGCGGCGCAGCGCGGGATGCCGCCGACTGGCCGGCGCCGCCGGTCGCACGGAGCCCTTGTCCGAACGCACCTCCAAGATGCGCGTCTCTGGGTGTCCCGCGTCGTGGGCGGTGCGCTGGGGCGGGATCGCTGGCTGCCTCTCGCGCGACAGTGGGGTCTTTTCGACACGTGCAGGCCATCGAAATGACTCCTCGCTTTGGGAAAGCGTCGGCTTCGGCTTACCTTCACAGAGCTGGGGTGGGTGGGGGGGGTGGGGGTGACGAGAGTGACCGCAAACCCTGTGCTGACTGTCACTTTTCTGTGCGCTGAACAATCTATTGCTGAATTGGGCAATCACGGGCATTGCATGCGGATGCACACACCGCCTGTTCCCATGCCGCCACGCTTTGCCAAGAAACTGGCAGGCCCGGCCGGCTCCACTTTTCCGTCACGTTGCACCAGCAACAGCGCTTCACAAATGTGCTAGGTGTCCCCCAAGGGACAGTCGGACGGTACCAGATGTCCGTCCTGCATGGCAGGTATGTATACTGGTCTTTCAGTGGCAATTACGAGCACTTCGCATAAGTGTTCTGCGGCACAATTGAATTGAATGCATTCCAAGAGCTGTTGCTTCCTCTGCATAGCACATGAGGTCGACATCTTCTCTTGCAGCTAGACCGGAGACAGAACTGGAGGTGCTAATGAGGCCAGGCTCCAATTCCCAGGTCAATGGAAACGTGAATAAAAAAACGGACACCACCATCACTCCATGAGCCACCTCCTCACAGATTTGTGGATCGTGGGCGACTACTCACGCATGCGCTCCAACTTTCATGTGCAGTCCCGGTCGACTTAAGCGAATTCCGTCTCCTGTGGAGGAGACGGAAATTTCCGTCTTCTCTGGAGGAGACGGAACTGGATTCACTCACTGCTGGTAAAACTGAGAGAAGATGTACCCTCGAATCGTCTAGTGCTGGGCCAGCACATCTTCGTCACTACCACGGTGCCTAGCACTGCTTCGATGTTTTTCATATCGACAATTTATGAATTCTTTGTATTCGCTTGTCGCCGCAGATGTCCGGATAGCAGGTCGCTCCTTGTCGCACTCGATTGCTGCCACGGCACTTGCCAGCGAAGCACCTGCCTCCTGGGGCACAGATACGCGTCTGTCTGAAAGTTTCTACGCTCCTGCGACGATGATCATCACCCTTATCATGTCGCCCCCCAGCTGCTCCCACAGCTCTCCCATCGCGCCATTCGATCGTGCGCTCGCACCTCGACAACGAACGAGCAGTAGGGGATGGTCATAGAGCGCTATATAGACAGCGCCACTGGCGGGGTCACATGCAGCATCGGGATTCGAGGCGGACTGAATTCATCAGTTCAGTGAAAAAGCAAGAAAACGACAGAGTGGAATCCATGCCGACATCATGGCAAGTGGGTTTGAGAGTCTCCTCATTTGCACCATCAGTGATGTTGCCGCAATGTGCATCAGCGGCCAGGAGCGCACGTCCATGCTGGCAGCCAAGGCGCCCAGTTCCGTCCTGGTCACCAGATCTGCCTCCATGCCCAATTCCAAGTCTCGAGCGTGCAGCTAGCACTGCGAGACAGATTACAGCTCTTCGCAAGACTGTACAAAGTTGCCATGTTAATTTGCATGACCACGATCGATTTTCGGGCAGTATCAACTGCAGCCAGCCGTCCCTCACTCCATGAGCGTCGTTACTAATGCGATGGCTGCTTGCATGCCATGAAAATGTCTTATAAAAGGAAGAAACCGCGGGACCTACTCACCTGCCTCACGATCGCGAATCACCACCCGTTTAGTGACGTGCCTCTGCAGTTTGGGTTGAAATTGTTGCAAACTGGAGGGTGCAAAAATGGATATTCATTGGATGCATTTGCACCCATCAGACCACCGCGAAGTGATTGAGGCCTTGCATATCTATCCGAACTCTTCAACCAAGCGTTCGACCCTGGACTTTGACTATGCACAATGATCTACTACAACACACGTGTCAAATTTTGCAGTAGTTTTGCCTTTTTGACAAGAGTTACTGCTCAGACACACCGTACAATCCAGAACACTTCCAGCAAAAAAAAATGCCACAATGCTGTGTTTATGATAGTTTTGGAGGCTTGCAGCGGACACCTTTGGCTTTGCTGATGAGCACAATTGTGTCTTCCGCTCAGAATCCATAAACTTTTTTCTTCCGTTTTTTCGCACGGTGTTTTGGACGGTGACTACTAAGGAACGAGATGGTCTGCTGGCGACGTCTGAACGCCCAACCGCCGACTCCGTTTGCCGCGGGAACAATGTTCAAGAAGCGCTTCACCACGAGCACGAGCCACAAGCTGTCTGGCGCGGACAGAAAGAAGCTCAGAAGGTGCCTGCCGCCTCCCGCGCGGCGATCCCATTCCCATTCACCCCCCTGATCCCCTCCCAACCTGGCGGGCGCAAGGGCCGCGATTTGCCCTACCTTAGTGGCTGCGATCAAGCCCACTTTGCACTCCTTTATGCATGCCATGGCAGGGTGGGGTATTCGCGGCCTGGCGGGGCAGTTAAGAAGCGCGCCTCTGCCCATCCACACAATGAATGCACTTGGCTTGGCATCCTTCCCGCACGTCCGGCAAGTCTGTTTCTTGGCAAAGGTGTGGGCATCTTCGCATGTCTTTGCCGCTCAGCGACCCAACAATTCGGCCTACGAGGTGGCGTGGCTTCGGTGCAAGGGCCCCCCATCTTGTCTTGCAAGGGCAAGCTCAAAACAAAGGAACAAATGGACAAACGAGCTTGGCGGCTTGACGCCCGTCGCTGTTCGCTCCCCAGGAGCCTTCAGAAGCGCTTCCCTGACCTCAGCGATGATGACTTGGAGGCCTTCATGCCCGCCAAGGCGAGCGAGGCGGAGGTGGCCAAGATGTCCTCGCCCAGCCGCGGGCTGGTGTACTTGTTGGACGGCGCCCCCGTGGCCTTCGATCCCAGCGGCCGCGGGGACGCCGTGCCGACGCTGTTCGCGCTGTGGAAGCTGCCGGGCCTGTGCCCGGCGGTGACGCTCAAGCACTGGCAGGTGGGCCGTGTCTGCGCAATGGGAGGGGAACGATGGAAAGAATGGAAGGGAAATGTGGAAGGAATGGGAATGAATGAAAATTCTTGCAGGCGACATGAGAAACCGACAAACTGGTCAAGTCACGTATCTGAGCTCAGATAGCCAAACAGCGTCCCTCTGCTGGCGGTCTAAGCTGGCCTCACAATAATTGGCAGAAAACCAACCCCCACAGCATCAAGGAACACAGATGGAAGGAATGGGAAGGGAATGATGGCCACAATGGGAAGGGAACGATGGGAAGATTGGAAGAACGATGAGAAGGGAGAGACTGGCGGTGGCAGCCACCTTGCTCAAGCAAGAAGTCTTATGGGGGGTATTCTTGTCATGGAGATTCCTGTGTGAAGATTGTCCTGAGCACTTCCTCCAATGCAATAGCGTGTGCTGCAGTTGACTGGAGAAGATCGTCTTTTGATGGAAAGGAAGATACCTATGTGGCAGAGTGCATCAACCTCCTGCAATATGTTTGGAAGGACCCTTTTCTCACTGTTCAAAATGCCACAGAAGGCTGTGATAGCAACATGAGTGGGGCACAGCGCAGAGCAGTGCCAATAGGCAAGGGTGTGCTGCCATCCACCCACTTGCAATACCATGCCAACAACTCGTGCTTGGGAAACAGCATTAACGGTACCCGATTTGAACCCCTTCCTGCCAAGTTTTCGCCATGCATTTTCTCCACATCACTGATGTACAAGGCTTTAACAGGTGTCCAAGTTTGTGCTGGATGGGGCAGACTTGATGCTGCCCGGCGTTGAGGTGCCCGCGGGTGGCTTCAGCCGTCAGTTTGCGGAGGGTGGCCTGGTGGCCGTGGTTGCACCAGGAAACCCAGCTGTGCTGGCGATCGGTGTCGCAGCAATGAACAGCAGGTAACTGCTAAAAGGAGGGCCACAGGTGGGGTTCAGCCACCCATGTCGCAATTCCATAGTGCAAGTGCAATAGGATGCAGCTCTTCCTCGAAAGAATGGACAGCCCTTATTGAGGAAAATGCAGTCCAAAGTGCATGCCATGGGAAACTCCACTGGATCTCAGTCAGATAAGATAAAAGTCCTTGCAATGCTAGTATGCATGCATTTTAGCTTAAGATTTGCTGTCACATAACAAAGCAATGTCTTTGTACAAATAAAATTGTGGAGGGCTTTACCCCATGTTCAACTATTCTGTTCCCATAGTGTTTGGATATCCCTGCTGTGGCTGAACAGCAAGCAACTCGTGTCAGTATTGAAGTGCAAATTTCTGATAGTGTGATGATATGCTATCCACAATGAGCCATGCTTGGCAGGAATGCTTGATCAACGATCAATCCATATTACAATAGCGTGTGCCTGAACATCGATGGTCCATTGCTGTACTGTGAATGCAACAAATTATGTCAGGACAATGCATTCGTGCTTGAATGGAAACAAAGACTCTTTTGAGAACGGATGCTTTTGGATGTGAACAGCATCCACTGGTACCTTGCATGTGCATGGACAGTTCTTTGTCACACTACTCACAATAGTTTCCCAGCACTGCTGCCTGTACATAGCCAATGCCATACTTTCAAACATACCCGACAGATCGGCACCCCGTCGGGCGCTGGCGCACACATGTGTTTAACTGATCATTGCCACAATGACAACAACGAAGAGTGCACACTTGCCTGCGCAGGGAGGCTGCCTCCAGAGCCGGTGGCAAAGGCAGGCTGGTGGAGATCCTCCACTCCTTCGGCGACCTCCTGTGGGCAAGCCACCCTGAACAGCCCGTCCCCAACCCGGGCTTCACTCTTGGAATGATCCTGCCCGTAGAGGAGGTGCCATCTACAGAAATTGGCCCCGATGCTGCTGAAGAGTTGAACATGGATGGCATGACACAGGACAGTGCTGCCGCTGCTGCCAGCGAACCCATGAGTCTCACAGGAACTGGCCAGGAGGGTGAGGCAGAGTGCAGACCTGAGACTGGGCTGGAAGAAGCAGAGGGCCCAGCCAAGGTCCCTGAGGATGCAGTCGTCGATGAGGATCTGCCAGGCACGTCCACGAGTGCAGAGGAGATGGATGAGCTGCTTGAGAGGTGCTTGCTGCAAGTGCTGCAGGGGCACCTTGGGGATGGTGACCTGCCAATTGCTGTTGGGGACCTCTGGCTGCACTACATGGTGCCGAACAGGTGCGAGCAGCAAACATGAAGTTGTAAGGGCGCACTGTTTTGAAGCAAGAACAGCAGTTTTGGTTGGGCGTGAGGAGAGTCACTGCATCAATGTTTTATCTCTTTTTGCATGGAATGTAATCTGAGTATTTCTGCTAGACCATGATACTATGGTTTGCAAAATTCTGTGCAGAAACTGCACCCCAAGTTGGCAGCTGATAAATGACGAATCGGCGACATAACATTGCATTTGGCAATGCTAACCCTTCAAAGGCATCTGGAATCTTAATAAGACTGGAGTCTGCACATTGGCTTGTAGCCTCAATGAACACTGGTGGGTGCTTCATGGGTGTTGTTGGATGTGCCAGCCACCTTCTTCAGCCCTCCATCTCCTCCATACTTAGACTTCAGCATGCTAGGTGCATGATGCTAGCTATTGGTATTGGACATTGTGTGCAGCAGTGCCCATTTTTTATTGCTGGTTGGACTGCATGGCGAGTATCCTTCACATGCAGATGGTTTTGTTTCTGGAGATCGCCCTTCCCTCTTTTTTGATCTGCTGGGGTTTTGTTAGGATTGATCCAACAGGTTTGCTATGTGAGGTAGATTCCATGGGCTGTTTTCATCCACCCAGGACAAAACCTGTGCTTTACCACCTTTTGGGTGATGACTGATAGTTGGTGGCCAGTGGCATACTGTAGATTTTCTCCTTGATTGTAGATATGTGTCGCTCGCCTTCACCATATGTGATGCAGGCCAATGGCATGTGGAGCATCTTTTTGTTTGTCAATACGTTGACAGCATCTGACGACAGAGGACAAAGCACTGCCCTGCACCTTTCAACCCATTCACAGACACATTTCCTCCACAGTGTCCGATCCAAATTGCCTACTCATCTCTTCACATCGGCATCTCTTGGTCTCAATCGCAGTCATATGCATGCTGCCCTTGTCAGTAGTTGATGCAGAGATGCAACGATTCACGAATGCAAGAAATGGCAAGCTTGCCCACTGTTGTAATCCCTGTGCCTGCAGGCCTCCAGGCAGCCAGCTGGAAGTGAAGAAGAGCAGCCACAAGAAGATGCTGAAGTTCCTTCAGGCCTATGGAAAGAATGGGTCTCGGGCAAAGGGACTTCTCATCCTGAAGGAAGACAAAGCCTCGAAGGAACAGATGCTGGTGCAGGTCAACCGCTCCCATGCACTGTACGCACAATACACTCCATACCGCGTGGCAAAGGTGGAGAGCGCGCCGCAGGACGATCAGGCGGGCCCCAGCAAAGGGGGGTGCGAGGCGTCAGACCTGACTGTTGAAGAGCTGTTCAAACCATCCAGGGAGCTGCAGCCCATCTTCAAGGCAGTGGAGCGTCCGATCGATGGCTTGTATGATGCTAAGGAAGCAGGTGAAGATCGACATGCTGGCACACTGCTGGCAACATATGGCAGACGCACAGTGAGGCAACACCCGTCCTGGACGAGGAGTTTATGAGGATTTGTTGGCAGTTAGTGATGCGTGTGGCTTCCAGATTGTGTGCCCATCTTCTTGTTGGGTGTGCTAGTACTTGGAGACACGTTCTCCATGAGCATTGACCCTGACTCTGGGCATTGAGATAGACATGCGACTGCGGTTCCTATTTCACATGCGCATGTCTTCTGTCCAACGCATGGGAAGCATGCAGAGCATCGCCTTGAACGTTAGCTGTGCATTGCATGCGTGTGTCCTAATGCAGTCGATTTGTGTACTCAGTCCAGTTCGTTTGGGTTGTGAACCTGTGCCGCTCCTTCCTATGGAAAAACTGATACTGTCAGAATTTGCTGCTCCTAAACCGACAGACCTGAATGGTTGTGTCTGTCAAGCGTGCCCCCCCACACTGCAGGATAGCTCTCATCTTGTCGTTTTCGAATGGAATCAGTGTATTGTGCACATGTGTAGTGATAAGGGCCTGCAAAAGCTTTGCAGGGGGTGCAAAGATGAGCGCCACTGTGTTGCAGCCTTGCTCTGTGTTCTGTTGGTTGGTGTGGATCAATTGCCTGTGCTTATGTCTGTTATATCATATATCTTATACCTGCTTATATCAGCGCCATGCCACTACCCCTTTGCGACTCCTTGATAAATGTGTTCCATGCATGGATTCCAGCCAAAAATTGTCGGAAAGATCAATGGCTTTGCTTGCTATGCTGGAAGATGAGGCAAGAGTCATAGGAGAGCGGTAATCCCAGGCCCGTGCACCTATACATGGACGAAGCAACGGCCATCCAATATGAGAAAAGGAAAGCCAAATGTCCCAATGCCTGACCAATGCCTTGCAAGTCGCAACAAGCGAAGGTTAGGTGGGTGTGTGCTGAAAGTGAGGACGACAGTATTGTTGACAGCCCCAATGATGTGACAGTGATGGCAGCAGAGATGGACACTCTGAGACTCTGCCCAGCCGGTTTTGCACCATGCCAATCGAATTCCAAACATGTCTGCAATCTGACTCGAAGTGGATTTGTATGGAAGCAGGGGACGTGGCATTTGACTATGTCAAGTTGGCGGATTTAGACAAAGGCGTGCCGGACAACAAGTACATTGTGCTGGACCCCCACCTCTGCGACGCCCTGTTCAAGGGACTGATCAAGAAGGGCGAAAGGTTCCCCACTCACCTGGCGAAAGCTGAGCTGAGAGGAGCCTTCATGCACCGCATGCTGCCTCAGTACAGAGTCACGAGGCAAGGCACCCAGGTGAGGAGACGTTGCAGCCGTAGCTTCTGGTGGCTCAATGTGTAACATGTTGCCAGTGGGCAGGCTTGGTTTTACGCCGTAAAAACTGATCTTGTTTACGTTTTTGCGCGTAATAATAATTTTTACGTTTCTACGCTTAAAAATGCGTAAATACAACGTAAAAACTGCCCGGTGTGCATAAGGACAGTACATACAGACTTACAGAGTCCGGAGAGTGGCAGCCAGACGCCCTGGAAGGGGCAGAAAACGAGTTTTTGTTAAGCGCCATTATCGCCCTTGCCAAGGGCGAGGTGGACATTGTGTTGCGGGTGCTGGGTTTAACGGAGAATGATCATTGTGCGCAACTTTCATCGTGTAACCTACGTGTGCCAGGGAGCCGTAAAAGCGTAAAAACAGACGTAAAAATAGCCCCTTTTGCAAATTTGGGTTTTTACGCGCAAAAACGTAAAAGTAAAAGCGTAAACGTAAACGCAAAAACCAAGCCTGCCAGTATGACAATTGCAGCACGCGTTGGTGCTTGCGTCATTCGTACAGTTACGTCAAGAGTTTCGTGTGCATGCTTGCGTGTCTGCTCCCTTTCGACTCGCCTTTTCCCATCGCTTTCAAGGGTACATTTACTCATTTGTTGTTTCTTTCAACTCGCCAAATGCGACTTTGTGGACTCACAAGAGCGAGCAGCAGTTTTGGGGACTTCATATGCACCAGAACGTGGTTGTGGCCCCTTTTTCCCAGGTTGTGAAGAAAGGGGCCGTCCCCAAGATTAAAATCTCCGAGGCCAAGCGCATGGGCAACAAGCGGGTCACGCGAGTGGCCGGCATAGAGACGTTCCTGATCACGCCTGAGGATGTGGCTGCGGAGTGCCAGAAGAAATTCGCTTGCTCTACGTCCATCGACGACCTGCCGGGCAAGGGCCCACGGGGCAAGGAGGTGACCGTGCAGGGGCACGTGGTGGACGAATTGGCGGCGTACCTTCTCAAGGAGAAGGGTGTCCCCAAGAGGTATGTGGAGATCAAGAGGCTGTGACGACGTTGGTGATGCGGCATGACTGTGGGCCAAATGCATGAAGATGGAATGTGGGGTTGTTTGATTAGCGCCACAGACTAGGCAGGAGTTGGGCTGTGGCTGGGCAACTGCTGGCCAGGCCAATGTTGGTGCAGCTCAAGATCTGTGGTGCTGCAGACAGTGGAAGTTGCGGTGAGGGGCGTTATTCGTAGAGATGTGGTGGCCTGCAATGCTGGAGGCCCTAATGGAGGTGTCCCTGCAGCCCACACTCTGCTTTAGCAGCCCTTACTGGATTCGGCGCCATAGTCGGTTAGAACAATGTTTAATGCGAAAGTGCCACAGTGAATATGAGCGAACCAACTGTTGGATGATGGCATTGAGCATGGTGGCAAGGCTTGAATTTGACGAAGGGAAACGAACGTCGTGTGATCGGAGGAAACTACCAAAGACCTGGGAGCTGGCTTGGGGTTAAAAGACGCCACTTCATCTTTTGCAAGCAGGTCTTCACAGTTAACTGGTTTCTTGTGCTGTACCTGTGAAGTTGCGAGCCCCGACCTTCTGAAAGTGAGCATCATACGTACTTGTACTTGTACTTGAACTTGTGGGCGCACCTTGCTGTTCTTTATAGATTCGGCCAGTTTGCCGCGAGGCAGGATCGTGTCACCGACCGACCGCAGATGACAAGCAGGCCTTAGGTGCCCAACGCAAGCATCGGGGCCCGAGCCCAAAACTGGCACAGAAGGATCATCGGCTCGCATCGATTGGAGGACTTTGTACGCTTTGAAAGCGCGATGCCAGCGCGAAGCCAAGGATGACATGAAATCGCCCATTGCGTGGGTGCGTCAGCGGTCGCAAACTGTGGAGAGGATTGGCTCCCAGGTGGAGCATGCGATTCCAGGCAGAGTTGCACAAGCTGCAAAATGGTACGAGGTGCAAAATGGTACGAGGTGCAAAATGGTACGAGGTGGTGGATTTGCGTCTGCATGTGGCAATTCAGGTAGCGCCTATTTACGGTACAGCCCTGCGATCTTCCCGCCCAATGACAGGCTGAACATGTAATTATAATTACATATTCAGAAAAACGTCACAAACCGTGACAAAAATGTCCACCTGATCCAACTCCAACAAACACCGATCCGTCACCAACCCACCAATACAGCTTGTCCATGCAGTTCAAGAACCCGGGTATGTCACCCGCAAGCCAAAGAGTGCCTTTTCCGGTCCCAAATGTTCATCTCGAGCGAAGTTTCAACAATGTCAAAAAACAATCCCAACAAAACCCAAGGAGAGGGCGGGCGGGGAGAAAACAAAGTGCAGTCTGATGGCGCGTCGCCTCCTTAGGCCTCGGCGCCGCCAAACAGTTCCCGAACGAGCCGAAACCCGGCCCCAAGGACCGTTGCCTGCCTTGGGGCCCCAGCAGCAGCATGTTCCCGCGCAAACTGGGCGCCCTGCTGACAGAACACTGTCGGGTAGCAATTTTTTCGCCCGCCCATCTTCGGGCCTCCCGTAAACTAGCTTACTGGACGTAACCATCCCTACATTACGCATGATGGGGTGCTTTCGGCATCCTCTGTCGCTGACAGTGTGCGTGACGCGCGCAACACAGTGGTGCTGACGGTCAGTACTGCGGATAACTGCGAAGTGCTGCGGTGTATTCCTTGGGCTCTACCAAACGGCCTTGTGTCCTCATGTGCTTCGGCTGAAGAAGGAAACAGTGTGTGCCTTCCGGTAACCTGAGCAGCTGAGGCGGGGTATGAGCGTGTGCCCTGCTGAAAGCGAAGTGGGTATGCCGACTTGGAAAAGTCGCGGGCCCGCTGTGCTCGCTTGTGGAAGTTGGGCGCCCACATTCAAGTAGGATGGATGAACGGGGCTGCCGCAGCGTTTCAATTCCGATTGACTTTCTGTTCTTAGAGCTGAATGTTGGAGGCCTTCGAAGTTCACCAACGCACCAGCTCGACGCCCCAATTGCCATGATGGCACGCGACCATTCGAATGCACCATGCTCAGATTGTGCAGAGCACAAGGTCGGAACGTTTCTGGTCGTGAGGGGACATGTAGGCACACCAGGCAGCGGTCGCATCACTGTATCAGTGCTGGCGTCGGTGCCTTTCGCTTCGAGACAGAGCATCCCCCTGACTGCGAGGCTTTGGGGGGAGAATTCACAGAAGGCGGGCAGAGTGGGCATTGGGACAGCAGCAGCCTATCAAACGCATGTGCCGGGATGCAATTACAGCCGCCAATCAAGAGCCCGTCTTGACCGAAGATTGTAGCCCATTGTTCCGAACGGCAGGCTTCCAAACCATCCCCCTGCGTCTCATCCAGCACCACAGCCTGCACCCAGGCACCCAGTCATTACTGATCACCGGCTGAGCGTCCTCCAGGGTTTGCAAAGCCAGCATGCATCCCTTGCGGCTTTGGCAGTTGGCAGTAACAGCGAAGCAAAGAAAAACCTCACGCCACTTGTTATCTATGGCAGGCGTTTTGGACGCCAGCACCCGGGGAGCCTGCTACCAGGCCAAACCAACCGAAGTCTTGCTCCCTCGCAGACAGTGGTCCACGCTTAATCGACACGGCAATTCTTGACGCTCACTTGAATCTTGGCAACTTGCGCACCAGGCGGAAAAGCACAGCTCTCGCAAATGTTCGCACCACACAGACATCCAAACGGCTGTCAAGACAGGGTGGCCCTAAAGACAAAACCCTACTCTCTGTCATGCTCTCTGACGTCCTGCAGCTAAGCCAGCACTGTCGACCATGGACCATGGGCAGCCGTGAGCTGTATGCAACTCGTCGCCACCGACCACCACCGCCAACATCCACCACACAAACGCCTTGACAGATCATTTCTGGACTTTGATCTGTCTCAATTTCTGGGTGTTCTCTTCCATGAGCTTGGTGATGAGGTCATCGATCTCCATGAAGTCGATCTTTCCATCCGCTCCAGCGATGCTCTGGAAAGTGCGTCCCGAGGCCAGGTACCGGTCCCTCTGCTTCTTGGGGATCCGGGCCAGCCATTTGTTGAACTCCTCCTCTGACAGGCCAACATCCTTGTCCACGAACTCCATATCCTGATTATACAGCAACACCATGCATCAGAGAGCTACATCAACTGCCTTTATACTCATTACATTGGAAAGAAGCATGCACTGCAGCTCTATTTCCAGAGCACTACAGTGTATTGGGAGTATCGGGACTGGTATTGGCAGTATGTCCTGCACCTTCAAGGGCCATGACAAGGCAAGAGCAAAGATGGCCTACATAGGTGGTGTGCAAGACATACTGCCAACGCCAGCCTTATAGCAAGCAGTAAGCAGGCACTCTTCTCATACCCTTCCCATCGTCCGGCCAGTGTGGCCCATGGGTTGGACCACTGCATTCAACAGAGAACGACCAGCAGCGAGTCTTCACACCAGGGCCACTGTACTAGTGTGCAAAATTCTTTCACTCCACAGTGTGCCGAATGAACATGGACCTGCACAACTGTGTGTCACGGGTTCACAGCCGATTTGCGTCCAAATAGAAGTCAATCAGGCTGGACATTAAGCAAGCCAAGCAATGGCACAATATAGCTGATGCCTCAAAGATCAATGAGCATCTTGTGATTCCGACACTGTAGCCCCACTGCAGTATCTGCATACTGCGAAAAATGCTGTCAAGCAATAGCAAAGGGTGCATATATCCCTACCCATGTGCTCACATCGGTGGAAAGCGCTAGCCACAATGATTGGGGACGAGTGCTTTTGGGGACGGGTGCACACTTTACAGCTTTTGGGTGATAGGGGCCAAAGATCTTGAGTTCTATGTAGCCTAGAAGTTCATTCAGACCGCTGAACAACATGCTGCACTCACAGCAACGATGATGAGCATCCCAGTCTAGACTCTCATATCAATCTTCACATCCATTGGTCCTTTTGTCTGAAAATTCCATTCCATCACAAAACCAGCCATTGCAGGCTGCTGTCTTCAACAGAAAAGGGAAACATACCATAACACAGGCACCCACATCCAGGAGCAATGTCGCTTACACAACTCTTTTGCATGCCATGGAAGCTGATGGAGGGTGCTGGTGTGCAGCATCAGAATCACACAATTGCCATGGGTCCCACCTGGGCAATCTTGCTCAAGAGTGCCTTCTCGTTGTTCACAGTGTTGGCCTGCATCTTCTCGTAGATCTTGTTGGCATTCTCCAACACCTTGGAGATGTCCTTTCCTGTCTCACCAGCCCATTTCTCCCAGTTTTCTTTGAGTTTCTCAAAGCCCTCCAGTTCGCTCGCCAGGTTGTCCCCAGCTTCCTTGAGCTCATCCACAGTGCTCTCCAACTTGTCCGCCTGCTGCCCAAGTTGCTCCTTCTTGGTCTGCATTGCAGTCAAAGGTCCTTCCCCCCTAAGAAAAAGGTAATGTCCAGAATTGCTAAAACACTGGGCCACTGTGATGTTCATACCAGCCCTTTCACATACAGACCATGATTCCCACACGCTCAGAGCTTTTGTTGGCTATTCCAGCTCCATTCAGGAGCAGAGGTCCCCGTACCACAACAGTTTTTACCACCACTGCACAGGCGCCAGTGCTATCCATTGCATCGCAAACTTTCCTTCCCACAAATACATGTTGAAAAAATGGTAATTTCTGCTAAACTTGGCTGAAGTTTAATGCGATGCATGAGCAACCCATCCAACCAGCTGGATGCAGCAGTACAACTGCAGTAGGAATAGCACATGGGCGAATCCCTTGTCCAGTGTTCTGTATATGTCTGCCTTCATGCCAGCCAGTTGCAGTGCGAATGATTGGATGCATTTCCCATTTGCTGGCCGATTGCAAAAGCAACCGCAGGGAGAGAGGGAAGAGTGAGTGTCGAACACCAGGACGCTACTTTTGGTACCGCCACAGGGAACAAGCATTCCTATCAAGAACGCAACAGAGGGAGACAGACTCTCTCCCCAGATTCTCCATTCCACTTTTTCCAGGCTCACTTCACAGATTCTGTATATCTCAGATCCTCTCTTCCCAGGTTCTCTGGCCCAAACCAAGGCAAGGACCTGAGGTTGGCATCAAAAAGTCAATCAGGAATCCTCCAATGAAACATCCATGGAAGGGGCCCCGGCTGCGCTGCAACGAATCAAGGTACAAAAACACCACATGCAGCTCGGAGCAGTGTCCGTCTCTAGATGTGATCGCCCCAGGAAACGCAAACCCCGTGGGCAAATGCTTGGGCACAGGGGCTTGGCGCCCCACCTCGAGAAAGGTCACTTGATTCTTCAGGTTCTCCTCCGTCTCCTCCAGCCTGGCGTTCTCCGCCGAAAACCTGTCCACCTCCGCCTTCAGGTTGCGCAGCGTCCAGATCTGATAGCCGCCGAACGCCATGGCCGCGAACCCCAGGAGTGCCACTAGCACATGCCACTGCGAGAAAACAGACCAACTCAGTGGAGCGTGCGCTTGTCCTGATGCGCTCGGGGCGCTGGTGCAGCCGTGCGTCATCTTCCACAACTGGGAAAAGAGCAGTGCAACTATCTTGGGACGGTGCGCAGTGGGAGCGCGTGGGCTGCTGTTGGGGCTGGCCCACGGTGTGACATCTTTGGTCCAGGAGAGCGGATCTTCACCACTGGACGAATCCGACGGGCGTGTAAGGGGCGACCGCTGTTTGAACTCCGAGCTGGCTCTGGATCACCGCCGGGGCGTCGCCAGATTGGCGGCGCGGCTCCCTGTGCGATGTTCCTGTCAAATTTCACCGCAGGGATTGACGCGCTGGCGCGAAGGGGCGGGCGGCCTATCCCCAGGGTCGTGAAGGGCGCTCGACGACAAACAAGGCGGGCATGGCGTTGGTGGGGTCAACTGAGGGATGCATCCGCTGACGGCCACCAGCTCGACCACCCTCGGATCCCACCCGTTCCCACGTTCCCGCGTGGGAACTCTTCCAAAAGGCCAGCGCACGGCGGGCAACCCGCGGCGCGATGCGCGGCCTCGCGCCGTGCCGCGCGGGATCCTTTCGCCCGGGAAAGCTCCCCGAGATTGCCGGCGATCGAATCTATACCCACGCCGCGCCCGCGGAGACGGCCCCGCACAGCCCTCCGGCATGCCAACCCCTTCTATCGCATTGGGGTACCGTCCACGCGCGGCATGCATTCCCGACCGCCGCCTCGCGATCGTCCATCCGCCACCGGCGATAGTCTATCAGCACTCTGCCCCCTCCTTCCCGTGCCCAACAACTCCATCCGTCGACATCGGTCGACCATGCCACGTGCGCAGCCAAGTGTTCAAATCCTCTCCCCACCCCTCCCCGTCACCCGCCCCCCGCCTTCCCGCCCCCACCTCCGGGCTCCCCCCTTCTTCGGTCCCGCGGGACCGCAGGGAGGATCCACGCCACTCACCCCAAACGCAGCGCCTACGATGCACAGCACCCCCGCGCCGAACAGCAGCACGATGGGCAGGTTCTGCAGCGGGTTGGCGCAGAACCAGGCCTGGAATCGCTCGCCCGGCGTCGGCATGCTGCCCCCGCCCTCACCCTCCTCCGGCGGCGGCCTCGAGGCGGTGCCGACCAATGCGCCTTGCGCGACCGCCGCGGCTGCCGCGCCCAAGGGGCGAGTGTGCCTGCGTGGCGCCCGCCCCCGTGCCCAGAAGCTGTCCCGCTCCCGGCAGGGGCCGTTACGTGATGGCGGGCCTGGGTGAAGGGGGCGTGAGATTGGTCGCCCTTTCTTTTCCATGAAAGTCGTTTTCGTTCTTTATGATGACGCTGACGTGGACCAGTGGTTTCAGCTCCACCTAAACCCTAAAATAAATTAAACTAACTCTCTAACTCTCAGCCCTGCAACCTAAAACCTGAAGCCTAGAAGCAAAGCCTAAGCCGCCAAACCCCAGTTTGTGGCCTGCGTTGTACACGGTGTCCCTGTCGCCGGTTGGGGGAAGTGGGACAGACAGCCGCTGATCCACCCACGTTGGCCTTGTCAGCAGAAGACAAGCGGATCTCAGGGAAAGAAATGGGGACCAATCCATTTTCGGTGGGGGACCGGATCCAGGGTGACATCAGCTGCATGGTGCTGTGGCTGTCCCTCGGCCGAAAATCGCATTTGCATCAAGAATTCAATTTCAGCCAAAAGACAGCCACAGCAACGATCAATTTCGATTTACAATCGAAGTCGCACAATGTGGCCGACTTCGATGATAAATCGAATTTATTCAATGATTCATTGCCAAAAGGCAATGAATGTGATACTACTGAATGCGATATGAATGTAGTACTTGATAAATGCAATACGACTTCATATGCTAAAAGTAATTGTTTTGAATGCACGATTTTTCCAGCACCAGCTGGTCATGGAAAATGTTCATTATGGCAATGGCGATGCTCATAAACGATGATCGAAAGCGCTGCATGCGAGCACAGAAACAACATTAATCGAACTTACGCTTGGAGATATTCTTTGTATACGTCGTTTTTTCCAATGTCCGAAGTTTCTTAGCCTGATAGGAAACCTCGGAAATCGAGGACCCTCGACGACCTGGGATAATTTTCTTGGCATCAATGCACTTGCATTACGGAACGGAAAGGAATGGAACTTGTACTACGGAACATAATGTGGCTTTGCTTCTGCCTGATGCTCCATCGCGTATCAAACATCTTAGTTTGACCGCCATTATGAAGCGGTGCTTCGGGGTGCTTGACCACAGCACGGGCGTGCGCCAGGCGCGTGCCCTGCCCAACCCCTTGAACGCTTTGGGTACTTTAAGAGGCATAAATCATCCGGAAAATTTGACCCGAGCTCCCATGCCCCGAAGACCCGGGCAGTCGGTCAACTACCGTACCGGCGTTTTCGAGTATAAACGCCCCTCCCATCCCTGCTTCTATCAATTCTCCACTCCGAAAGCCTCACCTGACTTTCGAGCCAATGCTGGGTCTCAAAATGCGGAACGAGAACTACTTTGAGAAGCTGAAAAGCCCGACGCTTGGGACTTGGCGGCTGGAGAGGCGGCGTTGCGACGGAGGTGGACCCTTCGCCGCAGACCAGGGGTGAGCTGCGGAGTGTGCCGGTGCAAGTCCCCGCTCCCTTCGCTGCTGACGGGCCCAGGCGGCCTTCGTGCTTCTCTGTCGAGGGACACGCAGTTCGTGATGGCGTTGCGAAAATTTTGTGCGCATGCGCGTTGCATGGTGTACTCTTTTAATTTGGCCCCCTTTGACTCTCGCCTAGTTGCGCACGTACCGGCAGGCCGCCCCTGCGCAGCTGCCGCTGACCTGTTTCCCCATCGCTTCTCCGCAGATATCGCGCTTGGAAGTTTTGTGGCAAGATAGCATGCTATCTGCCCTGCGCAGGCCTTTCCATGCGCCGCCGCGGCGTGATCTCGCAGAGGTCAACTGTGACTGACCCGCGACAAGAGATGGGTCTGCAAGCTCACTCAGCGCACGGCGCCGCGGCGCAAGCTCGCTTGCGCTTTGGCGCCTATGTCCCTTCCCACCGACTGCATGTGCACCACAGTTTGAAAAATTCTCCAAATTTGTAATGAAATTATGATGTTGCCACGAACCGCATGCGCAGTCTCCAAATAACAACGGGCAGAACTTCAGATTCGATTCCCCGACCGTATCCGTAAATTCTGCCGACAATACTGCTGCGGTTTGTGCGGTGTCGCAATCCTTTTGCGGGCCACAAATCCCGGATTGCTAGAGTTGACTGAGGCATGCTTCGCCAGGATGCGTTTTCTTGCTTGAACAGCTCTCCTCGAGAGCAAAGAGGAGTGCGTACAGGCTAGGTCTTTTCATTATCATGTTGATTGACTTTTCCATAATACTTTGTTAATAACAACCATTCCTCTTGTATTATGAATTTTTGACCATCAGTAAGGCCGTCTGTGGGCGCGTGGCGGTCGCATAACCTTGCCTGATGAATATTTTACAGATTTCGCCTAAGGTCCCACCGGAGGCGCTGGTCCGGCACCCTGGCATCGTGCTGCAATATTTCTGGCTACAGAATGTAAGCTCCAATATACCGAATCTGAGTCCTAATTTAAGTGTCATGACAATGATTTCTATAATGTATGAGAGGGGCTAAAATTAATACCTTCTGTGCAAATACAATGCTGCCCGTACTGCAATACGTACACCAATTGGTGTCATATTTGTATTTATGATTGTCTTGTGCTCATAATATTCTCTCAAGACTAGAAAGAATATATAAAATTTGAAATATTGCCAAAATCGTCTAAATATATTCCAAATTATTTTATTCCAAATTATAATGATATTCCAAATTTGAGTCGATTGTTCTCTCACACATTCTGCCGACACGCAAATTTAGCACACTCAACTCATGTGTTAATGACTCATATTACCGGTTCACGATTCAGTTGCCAACAAACGTAGAATCTCTTTATTGAGACAAACTATTTTACATTGCCATTAACACATTTTCTTTTTGGATATGCCAATGTACAAATTACGAATTGGGCCAACGTGTTTTTTTGTTATTAGGACCACAGCAGGCTATGAAGCGTCGGCTCATCCACCGTTTGCTTGCCATGGTTTTGACCTCAAATGGCAGAACAAACAATTACAGACCATGCTAAAGGAACCTGAAGAGAACAAGATTGGATTGCAATCACGCTCGGTCATCCCTCCCCTGCTGCAGCCCGAGTGGACACGAAGCCGCTTGTGTCGCATCGCAAAAGGTCTACTCGCCCCAAGATTCATAACCGCATCGCCGTGGCAGCAACCGTGGCAATAGGCCGTGGAACTTCCTCAGCCAAGGCGACAAATACGGAAACGGCGACGACCCGTTGGTTCAGCGGGACAGCCACTGTGCGCACACTTTCTTTCAGCCGGACACGGAATCAATTATGACAATTGCTGCGGTGGCAATCACGGAGCCGCAGCGCACGAAATGTGTGCTGCCACGGCGGAGGGCGCCGTGCAATGATGTGCACAGAGTGTACCAGTGGCTTGGAGAATGTGGCAGCTGCGGCAATGTGGGGCACCATGGGAAGCAGGATTGCTGTGGAGTCCATGATACCTACAGTCCGATCACGGCTATGAACATGGACATTATCGCGGGCATGGCAGTTGCAAGCGCGGCAGCCACGAATCCCATCAAGAATCAACACTGTTGAGGTAAAAATCCCTACTAGGAAGCATAAAGCTACAGAAGCGCCGACTGTGGGAGAGGTAAGTACGGTGGAGCGGGAGCTACGACGTATATATACGGCCCCATATATGACCCCCTCAAGCAGGTCGACTGCGATTTGGGCCAGAGCACATGCTGTGAGTGGGCAGCCACCAGGGATGCGGCCACTAAAACCCAACTACACGACAGCCAAACTGAAGCACAGGTCACAACCAATATGGGAGGAACGCCACCTACAAAGAACTCAATTGCAAAGCCAATTACAAAGCCTACCCCAATTCCTGTGGCAACGTGCCTCACACATTGGTGAAGATCTACAGCGGTAGCGATCCAGAAAAGCTCAAAGTGGTGGCCAAACTGGCGCTGACGGCTGCGCGGTCGCAAAGGGCAACAGGGGTCTGCAATCGCCAGCGCTCAACAAACAACAGTGGGGGAAAAACACGCGCATGCAGGGAGATCAATCTTGATGAAGAGGGAGCGGACACTGCGATGTGCACACTTCAGGTACCTACCTAATCTAAGGCAGAACATGTTGTGTTTTTTTTTTCAATTATGCAATCCATTTCTGTAGTACTTCGCTCCAATGAATATGTTAAAACATGGCACAAAGAAAACAACAAACAATAATATACTGCATGGCGGGAATATACTGTACTGATAAATTATCAGTGATGATATATTTCCCATTTTCAAAATCGCATGCGTGGGATCTTAACCAGGTTAATTGTCCACGATTCCATCGGCTTGCATAAAGCGTCTCATTTAGGAAACACTTCGCAGATCATGCTCGACGTCAACGTTTGCACTTCATTTTCTGCATGGTGGTCGATGTTCTTAGTGCGAATGTGCTCCACCACATCCGCAGATGGCTATTCGGTGCGCGTGTTTGAGGCGCATCTGAAAATGAAGACCTCCAGATCAGAAGGGACAACACGCCAGGCTGGGTGCCGGGCCATTGGGAAATCTGCTGAAGTGGGTGGCAGAGCCGGACAGGCGTGGCCACCCTTTGCTGACGCAACCTGCTGCCAGCTTTCTGTCCTTGGGGCATTCGGGTGTCAGGGATTTGCTCTGCAAACTGAGAGACCAAACCTTGACATGGCTCTCTGTGACATCCATCACCTTGGGTAAGGGGCGCATGGCTAAGACTCCTCATACATTGACCGATGTAACGCAATGAGTTTCTCAATCTCTTCCTCGTCCGTTGAGCTTTCATGATCACATTGGAACCGATTCCGTAAGCGAGCGCTAGAGTCGATTGCGCTGACATCGTAACACAGCGCTGCACCACAGTTTTCGTTATCCTGCTTCGAGCACATAACCACACACAAGGATACAAATTCCGATGTACCCAACAATGGCCCCGCTAATCCGTTAGAGGTGATGAGAGTAACATCACGAATGTACAGAAAAGTATATTGCGTTCAAACACCTGCGTTAGTCACCACCGTCCATGCGCATCAACTATCTGCCCGTCGGACGGCCAACAGACTGCATGTCCTGCTCGCCATCCTCTACCCAGAGCACGACCCAGCGGCAGCAGCCCGCCAAGACAGCCGTGTCTGTTATAGGTCCTATATACTATAGACGTATAACAGCTCTTGGAGCCTCCTTAGTCACCCAAAAGAGACCCCATTTAAAAGCAAGCACACGGTTTTCCTTGGGACACCGCGCAGGCAATTCAAGCCTCTTCCCTTGACTGAGGGAAGGCACTTTGTTGAATTTGGTATGCTTATCGTCAATTTGGCGCTAAGGGTGGGGTTTGGGGGGAGTCAAGACCTGTGACGCCAAGAGAGTAGGTAATTGCCACAAAATCCGCATTACCTGTGGACAAGCCTTGAATGCTATTGACCAGTCGCAAACCATACATGACTTGCATCCGAAACCACCCTCAAGGTTTCAATTCTTGAGGAAGCCCCATGTTGTCTCAAGTGACCGCGTTATGGACTGCCCCCATCGGCTGCCGTTGTTGGTACTCCTGTTCGTCAATCCACTACATTTTCTGCAAATCTGGCTATTGTCTTCTCAAAAAAGAGGTTGAAAGTCTTAGGTAATACTGCTTAGTCAACCTGGCGTCGACATAAGTGTTGACGCTTGACGGGGGGGGGGCCGGGTCCAGACCTGCGACGCTGTGATATTACGTTGTTGCTAACAAAATTGCTATGGACATGCACAAATCGTAGCGGATCAGTGGCGAACAACTTATGTATTGCTTGTAAACTTCCAAGAGGTATACCTTCAGGGAAGGCCCCGTATTGTCTCAACTGAGAGTCTCCATGGCTACCCCCATTGCCGACCGTGGCCTTTTAGAATCCTATCTTACACTCCTCTACAGTCGCTGAAACTCTGGCTATTATCTTCCCCAGAAATATCTTGCAAGATGCGTCAGGTTGGTTAGTTGATGGTGTTTTGACTCACCTTGGGCAACGACATGAGGATTGATGCTCAGAAGGTGGGGAAGGAGGGGGTGGGGGGAGGGATGGGCGGGGGGGGATCTTGGCGTCAAATTGATGCCAAGCGTACCAAAATCGACACAGCGTCTAGCCCAACCAGGTTCCAATGGATCAACTAGATCAGGGAATAATCTGCAAACGAGAAATCAAACAAAGTGAAAGAAAAGGAAAACCGATGTTCACAAGAACATTTATACAGAAAATGTTCAAAAATAGTGTTGTTCTAGCGAGTTTTGACGGACACATATCCGAACTAAGGCTGTTGATGGGCCGCAAAGCACGAATCGTGACCTTTCTTCGGGAAAATGCATCTGTGATTCGCACGCGAACTGGCAGTTACAACGCGCAAAAAACAGACTGATTGCAAGCTTCGACAGAACTCCGCCCACGCTGGCGCACACTGCCATAAATGCAACCTTTTTTGCTTCAATTCGAGGCAGCGTTGCAGAAAAGGCCTGGCTCGAAGCCTTCAAACCCTTTCCGCAACATTCGCAGTCGTTTCTGCTGGCGGGCCCCGTCCATTCGCACTCACTACGGCACCGCGGACCCGAAACATCACCGTACGTCCCAGTTCCGTAGTTCGCGTACCGGTCTCCCAAGGTCCGCACACACCCCAGCGAGCTCCTCACAAAGGAGCTCACTACTCCACTACTCGCGCTCGCGCCGGCCTAAAACCACTCACCTTGGGGCGCCTTTCGCGACAGCGGCCACCCGCACTGGGCGCCGCGCCGCTGGCACTCCCCGTTTGCCACCACCCTTTTCCTTCCGCCATGACCGACCTCTACCTGCGCACCCTCCAGCCCTGCACGGCCGCGGCCGGCGCCGCGCCGGGCTCATTCACCGCCCCCGCCCCCCAGCTGCTGATCAATCTCCAGACCCGACTGGCCCTCTTCCAGCTCGACGATGATTCCGCCTCCCTGAATCCTCTGGACGAGTTTCCTGTCTTCTCGCGCGTCTGCCACCTGGCCACCTTGCCGCGGGACGGCGAACTGGACGCGGCGGTGATCTGCACCAAGGACGGCGTGACCGTGTCGGCATGGGACGGCTCTGCCATGCGGCCGCTGGCCGACGGGATCTGCTGGGAGGCGCCGGGGGGCGCCGGGCCTGCAGTGCGGCGCGTGGAGGGCGTGGCTGTCAGCGGGCTGCACGCGCCGGCAGGGATGGCGGGGAGGGTGGGTATGATCGCGGCGGCTGTGTTCGATGAGGCGATCCATGTCGTGAGGATGGAGGCGGGACGGTGCCCGGTGACGGCACGCACGGGTGGGATCCACGCGCGGGCGGAGGCCTTCGGCCTGAGGGAGGCGCTGGGCATGGCGGGCAGAGGGCCAGGTGGGGCTGGCGGGGCTGATTGACAGTCCGGGGCCGTACTATTTTGAAAAATTGACTTGGCAGCCATTCCGGCGTGGGAGGAACAACCGCCACCACCAACAACGGCGCCGGGCCCTGTACGCAGATGCTCCGTTATTCATGCAGAGAGCGGCCACATCTGCACACCAAAGGGCCTGCTGGGGGAGGATGGCTGTGAGGAGGGAAGGGGACGTGTTTCAGGGGAGGACGCCCCCATTCTGGGCAGGAGTGGCTTGGGAGGCTCTGTGGGAGATGACGCTCTCTGAGCGCTACAGTTGTGTGGAGGGGGCCGGGCTGTCGCCGAAGGCTTGGAGGATTTCGCGGTCCACATGCGCCTGCTGCCGGCCTTTGGTGTGCAGATGGGGCCGCCGTCTGTGTGAACGTGAACGTGGATGCATCGTCAGACAGAAGGACAACGAATGCAAGTCCTTTTCTAGCATGGTTCCGCAGCTTTGTAATGTCACCCTTTGCCTAATACAACAAATCAGTCACTTGTCCATTCCAAAAGGCCCATGGCCTTGTCCGCTGTCCGTGGGAGTGATGGAGCTTGTGCGGACAGGGGCTGGTGTCGCTGTTGACAGTGGCAGGTGTTGCACACACACTGGAAAAGGGTGTCATGTCTTCCAAACAGCAATCGGAAGCCAATGCACAATCTAAACAGGGCAGTTGTTGTTTTCCACTTTACATGCAGGTTCCTTGCAATGCAGTGCTGTGTCTGAGCCTTGTGCTGTCATATCCTCAAATAACCCTTGACTTTGCCTCTTATTCACTAGATAGGGCCAGCAATGCCCACCTGCAAGAGAATGGTAAATTGCAAACGTACAGGAGGCTTTCCATTTGTGTCCTGTGCTCTGCTTCATATTGCAAAGCATTAGATCGGTTTAGATCCTTTAGGTGTCCAGGTGCTGCTCCTGCCCTGAAAGTGTAGATGTGGCCATTTTTCAAACTCAGAAGATAGCGCAAGGCGATGTTGTCCTGTACATTGTTGTATCTTGCTTCTTTGGGATTTTGGGGTTTAATAGGATCATTATTGTGAGGCAAAGCCATTATTGTCCTGGACAGTTGTAGAGTCTTCCCGGTACTATTATTCTGCAGTAGCTTGCCACTTGAGAGCACTGTTGCTCCACCATGTTAGCAAGCATTCATCAACTGACTCTGTTCTTTTATGTTTTTGACAATTGGAGTTGCTACTGTCACAGATTGGTATGCCCATCAGGCAATAACCGTGCTGGACATGGCATTTGTGCCAGCACCCTTTGAATCCGAGGACCAACACCTGCTGGCCGTTCTCTACCGTATTGAAGGTGTGCAATACGTCCCTCAGTTCCGTTTCTTGAATTTCACAGAACAGCACCCCATGAAGGCCCCTTGATGTGAAGCACAATTCGCAGGTCTGAAAGGTGCAGCATTGGTGAACTGGTGACCACTGTTGTGCTTAGTGGTCGCCAGACTGTGCAATGTGAATGTTCAGCATGCAGTGGCAGCGTAGCGGTTGTTTGAAAAATTGTGGGCTGTGTAAATGTGCCTCCTCTGGTTTGCTGTCACTCTTGAATTTCGTCGTGAATGCATCCTTAACAAACAGACGCTCAATAGAAGATGTACCAATCCTGGTGTGGAAGCGCATTGAGGCATTAAACGTGCCACACAGTGTTCAGAACCCTGGCATAATATCCATGCTAGTACAGTGTTGGTTGAACTGATCACGTCAGAAAAACAGAGGGAAGAAGTCCATTCCATTTTCCACTAAATTCTTGCTCCTGTTTATGACCTATCTTCCAGTTTGATAGGAGAGTGGTGTTGTGCACCCGCATTGCCTTACAAGATGTTGATCGTGTTCTGTGCAGGGCCAGATTAATGCACTGTTGTTGGCTGTATTTCCCCACTTGCTTCTTTCAATGCCAATCAGTCTTTTGTTGCTGCGGCAGCCACCATCGGACATTTGGTGCACCTGGACTGCTTGGATGTCAATATGAAGGACGGCAAGCTCCGAGCAGGTCCCTGGCACATCAGGTGACAATCTACTTGCACACCTATGGTTATGACAAGTGAGATTTCGTTCACAGTGTTTGGGAATGGTTCCCATGCCACCTCTAGAACTTTGCAAATTGTTGAAAAGAGAATCGCCCAATCTCAATCCCCAATAGATAAAGTTCTTCATGAATCGGGTGGCGGGCGACTGAAGGGGCAAGCTTTGTGTCATGACTTGAGCTGTGTTTGCAGCCACTGTGGCCTGTATGTTGAGCAGGCAGACTACTCAGGTTGTAGGAGGTGAAATTTATGCTTTGGATAGTTTTGGTGTGGCCATCGCCCAGGAAGTGTTGTCTGATCGTGCTGAAGCAGATATTGGGGGGACAGGACCAGTTTTTCACTCATTGGAAAGGCTGTTCTGCAGGCTGCCCATCACCTCCTTGGAAAGGTTGATATGCAAATTTGCTTGTCAGTCCTGCCAAATGCGGCTTGACAGTTGCAATTGTCTGGCTTTACCCATTGTCCTGTGAGCCCCAAATCTTGTGCTCCGAATCCTGCAGAAACACATGCCATGACTTATGAGTTGTTCTTCACATTGCACACAACGGAATTATTGAAGCAGCCATTCTCTCATGGGTTGTCATTGTGTGCATTGAGTTTTCTGGCTTTGTCGATCGTCCTGGAGGAAGGAATGTTCACTCGACAACATCTCTGGTACTTCCGCACGAGCCCTCCTGCGCTGTGCCTGGCACGGAATGGGCTGGCCTATGGGGAGTACTGGTGGTCAGTGCTGTGGGCGTGAGGTTTGCGGGCTGCAACGACTCGCTGGACCTGCTCCAGCGGGAGGTGCCTGTGGTTGATTGGGAGCTTGCTGGGTACCCAACCTGCGCAGAGCATCTGGGACTTGGGAAGTGGATCGTGGGGGACACAAGTGCAGGTTAGTACACTGGCTTTCGAGTGGATATCAGAGTATGTTGCGCATTTGGCGTCCCCTTTGTGATCTGGATGTCCAAGACTTGCTGCCGCGCTGGACAGGATGGTGGATGGTAATTATTTTCGATTCGTTCATGTGCATGAAGAACAGTATCAATGGCGGATGTTGGCGGTGTGTCAGAATCTGAGCTTATGCGATTCAAGCAAGCTGAACTCATGCACTTGTGTGAACAGCAGCCCTCCCTTGTGTGCCCTGGAAAGTAACCACCATCGTGGAAGGGCTTTGTATCACCTGTAATATTGCATGCATTTTGACGTCAAGCACATTGTGCAGTATGTATTCCCTTCCACAGTCCTGCCCAGATCTAACAGCTTGAGCCAGCCCTCGTTCTGATTCTCTTGTACCCTGCAGAACTTACTGCCAAATTCGCTGACCCCAAGTGGGCCACTGAAGCCCACTGTAGTAGCCTGGGGAGCTCGCACTCTACATAGCAGCAGTGTGGCAGCAAATGTTTGCTTTGTTGCATTTGCTGTTTCCAGGTGATCACTTCACCCATTCAGGCAATTTGGCACACCTGTGGATTCCGTTGGCCCATGTCCACTGGCTGCTCCTTATGGCACACAGGACAAACAGCAAAAGAGTGAATAAATGCATCCAGTGCATTGTTGTGGAAGATAAGACACTGATTGTGGCACATGTCTCCACAGAGCTCAGATAATCAGACACCTTCAACTACCCTGGCAAGACCCTCAATGCCTGGCAAATATAAAGGGTGCAATCAGAACCTAGCCAAGTATCAGTTCTTCTTTTCGGCATTCGAACCTCTGCTATGTGCAAGTTCAGCTTGGTCGGCTGTTTCTTGGATAGTGAGGGACAAATGACCAGAAGGGAAGAATCAGTTGGTTTTCAGAAATTGTCCCTTGCCACCAAAGATGGTGCAAGGACTTCGTGTTTTCATGTGCAGCAAACAAAATCATGCAAATTCAATGTGTGCTTGCAGGCTTGACTGTTCTGGAGCTGAAGTCAGCAAGTGATTGGTACCATGCCCGTACTGCTGCCCATGCGTCTGTGGCGTCTGTCTTGTGCTGCCTGCCTCGTACATCCGCATCAGGGGATGGAGTCCTGTTCCTTGGGAGCGTTTGCGCAAACTCGCAGCTTCTGGGGCTGAAGGGCACATTTATTGAAGGCAGTGCACATACTGCTCAGTGGCCAATGAAAGACGCTGCATTCATTGACAGTGCTGCGCCAATCCAAGATGCAGTGCTCATAGAGGACCCAAGAGGTATTGGGCAAGATGATAACACTCCCCTTGCACGTTCAAGGCGATATCAGCTCAGCCCCAAGCACAATGCTGTTCCCCAATATGCTTTACCAAATGCTGGCATTTGCTTGGCTGTCGACTGTGGTTGTGGGACTGCTGGCTTTCCTTTGTGCTGTAGTGTCATATGGTGAAGAACCTGGTAGTGTGGCAACCATAGCTTGCTTTGTCCACAGATCTGCAGGGACTGATTGCACAGTTGTTTGAGTGCCGTGGAGCCGAAATTGACATCCAGCGATTGTGGCGATATTTTTGACAGGGTGCGATGATAACTGCCTCTTGCTTTGCTGTGGGCAAGCACCTTGCGGTACACTGCGGAGGGCGAACCTTGCAGCAGGCATCGTTCCAGTGCTTCTGGAAGGCCCAATGGTTCAGGTAGGACATGGCCACCTGTTCACGTTCCGCCGCCCTTCCCAAGGCTGAAGGGGAAGAACATTCTTGCACATCTTGTCAGGCGTCTTGCCTGCAACAACAGCATCACAGAAATAGCAGCAAGGAGGGGTGTTAGGTAGCTTCCTACTCAAAGGCTGTGTGTGCGTTCTACCATCAGAGTACTAAGTTCAGTTTGCCAACTGGTAGGTGACTGGCAGGGTGGTGAGTCTTTGAAGAATTGCCGGTTTGCGAACTGCAAACTCCAGCTAGGTTCTAGTTTTGCAGCTGCAGCTGCTAGAGATGGTCTGCATGGAGTGGGGCTTTGGCTTGAAAACGTGCAGATGTGCTGTGGCGCGTGGTTTTGACGAACTGGACATGAACCTATTTGTGACATTTCGATTTCGCCACGCAGGAAGGCGCCAGCCTGCTCCCTCTGAAGGCGAATGTCGCTGACGACGGGCACTCCTACCTGTGCTTCTCCCATTCCGCTGCGTCTCGAACGGACGTCTTGTGGATCGCAGATGATCACTTTCGGCCTGTGCACCTGCCTGGCGTTGCTGAGGAGTCCAGCACCCTTGGAATATGGGCGACCCCTGGGGGACTTGTGCAGGTAACCCCCGGAGAGGTCAGGTTGGTGCAGATTGGGCTGCCTGATGCTGGGCTACGGGCATGGGAAGCGCCAGGTGGGCAGGCGATTAGATGCACTTGTCAAAATCTGAACTGCACAGCTGTGCATTTCCGTGGTGCTGGCTGACGGTGCCATACAGGTGTGTGCAACTCAGTTGCCATTGGCATCATTTGCATTTCCTTTCTGTCTGCTTGTGAGCAGCGGTTCCTGTAAATCTGGGAGTAGTCTGCATCATCCTGTGCATTGTGGGAAAAGGCCATGTGAGAATCTTTGCTGAAAGGGTTGCCATTTACAGGACATGTTCCTTGCTGTTAGAACAACAAAGTTCGACTGTCGATCTGCCAGACACGTTGGTGCTGTGACCCATTTGTTTGAGAGCTGATTGTCCTTTCTCAACTTCTTGGCATATGGGCAACTTAAGGTCAGCTTGGGCCCAACAGACAGATGGGGAAGTTCGTTTGCAGTGCCTAAAAGAGAAGTGGTCGTGGGTTGATACTGTGATTTGCAATTCGCAATTGTGTCTGCAGGGTCAATCTCCCACGCAGATGCAGTGGACAGCTTGCTGGCCATTGCCATGGGTGCCGACATCATCGTCATGGACCTCGCGCAGTGCCTGGGCCCTGTGAATCAGACATCCCTGAACCAGCAGATCTCAGCCTTGGCTCTGCTGCAGATGTGTCCCAACCCTGCCGATTCCCTTCAGGACACTGGTGCGACATCCTCCTCTGGTCAGAGCCAAGACCACTTGTTTGTGGCGGTGGGAACCTGGGTGTCGAATTCGGTAAGCCTGCTGAGGACTGGCAGCCTTAAAGAGGAACTGTCTTTCAGTTTGGGGGACGAGCAGCCCCGCTCGCTGGCGCTGCTGCGTGTGCCAGGGTCTCTTTACATCGTGGTGGGCACCAGCACTGGCACGGTGGTGATCGGAGGAGTGGATATGGCCAGGAAGACAGTGGGCCTGCTGCATGCTGTGAAGCTTGGCTCAACGGCCATAGATCTGTTTCCTGTTGCAGCGCATGGCGAGACACCAGGTGCGAAGGGGCATGCTATGCTGCTGCCAGATAGAGCTGAGCTGGGCTGGGCTGTTTCCTGTGCCTGATGGACTGCCCTATGCCGGTGCAAGGAGCCCCAGAATATCATTGCACTTCTGGGTATGTGATCTTGCTTTAAGCAATGGGCGTAGTTCTGCATAGGTAGATGCATTTTTCGCTCCCAGGCAACCTGGTAGAACATTCCTATTGCCACAGGTGGGTGCAACACTGATGGTGTCCTGAAGTCCAAGTTAATAAACTCAGCATAAATCGGATGCCAGGTCGCTGGACAGCAACATCCAGGCAATGGTGGAGCTTATCAGCACTGTCTATGTATTCGTGGCATGCAAGGTATTGTGTGCTGTTGACGGTGTTGCTGGAAATCTGCAGGTCACCTGATCGTGCATGGCTCTGAGGCAGCCTTGTTGCGGCCATCATCCTATACCAGCCAACGCCACGATGCACAGCTGGAATTGAGAGATGCAGTTGAAGCGGTACGGCTGCACTTGGGGAAGGGCTGTGCTGCGCTGGCGCCCATCCACACTGCGGCCATTCCACAAGGCCTGGCATGGGTGTCCCTGGAGAAGAAGCTGATGTTTGGGTTGGTGGACCCCAAAGCGAGGCTCCGTTGGTCGTCTGCTGTGATTGGTGGGTGCACTGAGGAAGGCAACTTGTGGTGTGAGGGGTCCGCTGACACCAATCGTGTTTTCTTTGCTGTGGCCTGTCCGTGTGGTTCCTGGAACCTTCTTGGCTCACTGCTTGTGGTTATCTATATTTAATGCTGTGCCATTTGGTTTATTGGTGTGCTTGTGCGATCAAGGCACAGATATGCACTGAATGTTTGGCTTATTGGGGTATCGAGGCTGTGCTGTCTGCACTGACTCATTGAAAATTTGGCAACCGCTCACTCCATGATGCTTACTGAGGAGGGCAGTGGCCATTCCTTTCTGCTGAATAGACAGTTTTGGCGGACTGGCGGTTGACAAAACTCCCAGCTGAATGTGGGAAATCGCAGTTTGTGCTGCCCAAACTGACACGCGCTGCCTGTGTCTCAGGAGACACCCCCCTGCACGCAGCATATCACAGGACCACAAAGTGCCTCGTCGTGCTGGCTGAGGATTACGACGGTCATCACTTTATGCGTCTCGTCGACAGTGCCTCGCTGTGCCTTGTTGGCAGTCAGAGATTGGATGCTGTGCACAGGCATTGTGGCGTCCTGGTCGCAGACCTGCCCTGTTCGTCAGCAACGATGCAGGAGGGAGCAGATTGCGAGTCAGGAGGGGCAACCCGGTGGAAAGAATTCATCGTGCTGTGGTCATACCTGGTGGTCAGGGAAGGTGTGTGCACTCCGATGCAGATGCCATGGCTGGAAATGTTGACCATGCACATCTGTGCATGCATTCCTTTGAGCCGCAAGGCTGCTTCAGGCAAAAATTTTGCTTCGTCATAAATAATGTGGTGCATTAGTTTGTATTTTGCTTGGCAGGCTGTACATTGCCTGGAGAACCAATAGAAATGGAGAGGCAGAAACGAATGAAGGGCCGAAGTCCATTGCAAAACAGACAAGAATGCCCTCGCCACGGCCACTGCCTTGGAACGAACGGGCAAGATACTGGTCGGGTTGAAATTTGCGGAGGATCAAAAGCAAAATTTGTGGTGGACATTTTTATCAGGCTGGAGACAGCAAATTGCAGTGCTGCCATTGTGCTGATTTCAGTTAACATAGTAAGAGCAAAGGTCCCCGAAGAGTACAAAACACTCTTGTTTTGTACCTTGGTGTTCCACCATGACTGCATTTGTCAAGTGGCAACGCTGCACCGTACGGTGAGAATTGTAGTTTTCTTAGGCCTGCTGTCATAAGCTCATCGACGTATTGTGTACCGCGGGCCCCCAAAGGACACTACCAAAACGTTCATATTGTCGGCAGCGATCGTGGCGTGTTGCTGTATCAAGTCCGTCCGCATCCGTCCGTCCGTCCGTCCGTCCGTCCGCTGTGAAGTCGGCCATTGCATTTGCAGACATCAAGCAACGCAATGCGATGCTCAGGTGGGCAGATGAATGCCCTGTGTATTGGTTTGGCCCCCAACCACCAAACAGCGCTGAGCCCTCCCTGTGCTTCTGTTGTGCGAATGCAGAAGACGACCCTGGACTGGAGGGCACTCAAGGGCTCCTGTCCGTGTTCGAAATCGCTCGGAGTCTAGAGAGGGGCGGCGATTTCGTCAGATACAGCCTAAAGCTGCATGGCACTTGCCCTCTCCCTTCCGTGCCCCACGCCTGCACAGTCGTCCAACCCGGCCGTTGGGCTGACGAGGACTGCAGCGGCCAGGAGGAGCCTGGCCAGGACTCTGCATGGCACATCACCCCCGTCCTGATCTCGAGTGGACCCCAGGGTCCGGATGTGGGCAACATGGGCGGGGGCGGTCATCGAAGGCCGGACCTCAAAGAGAAGCAGGACTGGCCCGTCCTTCTCGTGGGCTGCCACGACGGGGTCAGGGCCTACAGGCTGTTCGTGGACGACGCCTGCGAGGCCGGGCGGCGGGCCGTGGAAGAGGGCCTCAGGGCTCTGTCGAATTACGCAGAGCGCGTGCCTGAGGCTCCGCTGGATGGGACGAGTGCCCAGGAGGACGGGCAGCCAGCGGCCGATTCCTCCGCCCCCTCCCCCTCCAAGGTGGCCCCCCCGCCGTCCCTGGAGGTGGAGATGGGCGATTCCCTCCGCGCCGCCATCGAGCACACCAGGGCGGCCGTGATGCGGGACTGGCGCCAGAGGCTGAACGTCATGTTGGTGGGCAGCGCCCAGGCACACTCCCAGTCCACTGTGGTGTCCCTGGCTTCCGTGGACAACCTGGTGCTGGCGACCGAGTTCCTGGGCTCCGTCACGGTCTTCCGCGGCGACTTCACGGTGCGGCACGAGAAGCGCCAGTCCCTGCTCTGGGCGCCGCTGATCCCCATTTCCGCGGATCTGAACCCCATCTTCGTGCAGGCGCTCATGCCGATCTCGCGGTGCGCCTTCCTGGCCGCGGTGCACCCGGACGGGCTGGTGATCCTGCATCAGGATATGTTCGCTGAGGAGGCCCAGGCTGAGGCGTGGCGCCGCGAGCTGATCTCCAACTTCGAGTCGGGGAGGGAGGCTGGGGGGGCGGGGACGTCGTGGGTGAAGGTGGACTACCCGCACGGGCCGGGGATCTGGCGAGGCGATCCCCAAGGCCCGGGGGTTGGGGAGGGGGGCGAGGACGACGATGGAGGGGAGAGCGATGAGGATGGCGAGGAGGGCCGTGGCTTGAGGCCCCCGCTGCCCAGCATGCCCGCCGTGCAGCCCCTGATGGTGGGCGCGTCGTGCCGGCTGCAGCAGTCGATCGCGGGTTTTTGCTGCGGGGGCCTGGGCCTGCGGTTGAGATCCGTGGCGGAACGCGCGTCGGCGAGGCTGCTTGGCGCCGGCTTTGACGACTCTGTCCCGTCCAGTGGCATGGTCGACTGGACGGAGCACAGCACCTTCATTTACTACACGGACGGCGGGGCGGTTGGCGTGTGCCATCCCATCGCGAAGGACGACGGGGAGTCTTTGATGCGGCTGCAGCTGTCGTCGTCCGAGCTGCGCGCCCACCCCGGGGATGCCAAGGCCGCCACGGGCCACAGACGCGCCGACGCGTGGGAGTTTCGGCCGGAGGCGCTTGGCGAGGAGGGGCATTGGGAGGCCGGGCTGGCCGCCAACGCCGTCGATGGGGACTCGGTGGAGGCGCTGGTCGCGGACGGGGGTGCGCTGGAGAGGGTGGCGGAGCGCGCGGGGCTGGAAGGCAATGCCAGGGCCAAGGCTCTCTCCTGCGTAGAGGACCTGATGGCCGGGGGAGGGTACTGGTGACAGGGAGAGGAGGCGCGCGCATTGGCGAGAGAGCCAAGGGAAAGATTGGATCATTTAATGTCCGCAGTGCGCATTGGCGCTGTTAGGTCGCTGGCTAGCTCGTCGCTGGGGATGCTGTCCTGGCGGTGGTCTGGGAACCAGTTGAAGCCAACGGAGTTGCAGACGGATCCCAAACCGCCATGTTCCTGCACGGCTAGTCCATGCATTCAGCCCGAGTGCGTGATTGTGTCAAAGCAGCGCGTCGTTGGCTGCAGATGGCCGCCCTGGCAGACGGGTTGCGGCACGGCGCTGGAGGGGGCTCTCAGGGCGTACGCCATGGCCTCCCTGGCCAGGGAGGGCTGCCTGGAAGGGTTGAGAGGCTGCGCGCCTGTGGATTGCGTCGCGGCGACCAGACAAATTTTTCCAGAGTGTTGCTGAGTGGAAGGGGAAAGCACGCGAATTGCGCTCCAGTTTAGCATGGGCACAGTCTCCCCTCGGAATTCAACGTCTCATGGGCACCAAAGGTCCTGAGTGCGAAGGAGCCCGCAGGCAATGAGCGACCACAGATGGTAGCGCGGAGCTGTAACCGCAGCTTCTCATTCTTTCCCATTCGTGGCAACTTGGCGTCGATGCAGTGTTCTGCCCACAAGTGTGCCCACACTGCCTGAAGAATGAGGATGTTCCGCGTTGGCCCTGAGAAGGCCGAGCGAACGAACGGATTTTCGTATTTAACGCATCTCGACACGAAACTACCCTGGTAACGTGGTGCCTGCCGCTCGCCCCCTGTGCCTGGACACAGTCGTGTACCAGGCCAAATGACAGTCGTTCGCGGTGATAAAGCACTGCACCAGCTGCACACTCCATGGGTTGCAGAATCTTAGGCCACAATGGCGCCCTGTCAATCGATGTACATCGATCACATTTGCCACATGTGGCGCAATTTAGAGAACGCAGCGGAGGGCAAACCAGTGGGAATGATTGCACTGGATAGGCGATCCTCTCCCAGCAGCAAAGGGTGGGGCAGCTGAGCGTCTGCCCGAGGTTGCGCGATGCGAAACCGGGAGCACGTTCGCTGGCGCGGCTGTTCCCTGCATTCCGTTCTGATCGGCACTTTTCTGGGCTGTGCAAACGGATGCTGGGCTGGAGTGCTTCTAATGATGGAACAACACGAAGGTTAGCCATGCGAAATTGTGCTGCGAAACGCATCTCGAATGCGGCTGCAGGTGTCGCATTGCCAACGCCCAATTTTGGACCAGGACCCGATGAATCCGTCTCGGGCATTTAATGCAGTCACAGCAAACAACCCGAGGAAGAATCTATTTTGTATTTTGTGCGTTTGAGGCTCCACGAACCTTAAGCAATGACGTTCTCGGGACGTGGATGCTAAGATATTACGTCATTGTGCTGAAGTCAAAAAAAAGCCAAAGAGAGAGGCTTGAATTGCCAGCATGGTGTCCCAAAAAGCCCGTGTGCATTCTTTTTGGCGACTACAACAGACACGGTTGTCTCGGCGGGTTGCCGTTTCTGGATCGTGGCCAGGGGAGAGGACGGCGAGCAGGACGTGCAGTCTAACAGCCGTGTGGAGGGCACAATGTTGATGGGCACGAAGGAGGGTGATTGACAGCGGATGTTTAAAAGCATTGGAGTTTCAGTCATTGGTGATGTCACTCGCATCACCGCTAATGGGATAGTGGAGCCACTGTTGGGTACACCGAAGTTTGTATCGTTCGGTCTTGTGCTTGAAATGGGATAATGAAAACCATGGCGTCGCGTCGTGTCATGTGCCATCAATAGTGGTGCTTGCTTCTGGAATCGGATCCAATCTGATCTTGAAAGTTTCAAAATCAAGTAAGAGATTGGGAAGCTCATCGAATTGTATCGATCTAATGTCTGAGGAGTCTTAGCCATGCACCCCTTACCACAGGTGATGCTATCACAGAGAGCCAAACCAAATTCTTGTCTTGTCTTGTCTTGTCTTGTCTTGTCTTGTGGTCTTTGTCTTGTCTTGTCTTGGTTCTGTCTTGTCTTTGCCTTGTCTTGTCTTTATCTTGTCTTGTCTTGTCTTTGTCTTATTCTTGTCTTGTCTTTGTCTTGCTCTGGTCTGTCTTGTCTTGTCTTGTCTTGTCTTGTCTTGTCTTGTCTTGTCTTGTCTTGTCTTGTCTGTCTTGTCTTGTCTTGTCTTGTCTTGTCTTGTCTTGTTGTCTTGTCTTGTCGACCTGGTCTTGTCTTGTCTTGTCTTGTCTTACCCTGGTCTTTGTCTTGTCTTGTCTTGTCTTGCCCGTGGTCTGTTTGTCTTGTCTTGTTCGGAGCCCCTTTGTCTTGTCTTGTCTTGTCTTGTCTTGTCTTTGTTCCTGTCTTGTCTTGTCTTGTCTTGTTCACCTTGTCTTGTCTCGTGGTCTTGTCTTGCTCGGCAGATTCTCGGCTGACCGACCGCCCCTAAAGAAAGAAAGCTTCTGGTAGGATGCCCAGAAAAGGGTGGCCGCGCCTGTCCGGCTCCGCCATCCCTTTAGCAGATTCGCAGATGACCCGGCACAGAATCGGGCCATGCGTGTCGTGCTCCCTGATCTGGAGATCTTCATTTTCGGATTCGCCTCGAAGGGAGAGCGATCTGCAGGCACGACGGGGCACATTCGCACTAAGATTATTGAGCCCCAACGCAGGAAATCAAATCCAGATATTGAGCATGGTCTGTGAGGTGTTTTTTAAATGAGCCACTTATGCAGGCTGCTGGCACAGTAGACAGCTACACTTGTTTGAGGTATCTTGCACTCAATTTTGGCAGTGAGAAAACATAATACCAGCGAAGCACAATACCAGCCCTGCGCAGTACAGTGGCTTAATGTCTGCTATCCTATCTAAGGCTTGTTATGACATAATTCCTTGCGGTGAAGTAAAATTGCAATGAACTGCAAAATTGAAGCAAGATTCTGCCCAACACGCTCCACCTGGGCTCGGGTGGGTACCTGCAGTGTGCCCGTCGCAGCATCTGCTTCCTCCGCGCCAAGAGACTCCTCCCTGGGCGCTTGTGGTTTGCCACCACGGCCGTCTTTTCAGCGTCATTGACTGCAGACACCCCGTCGCCCTTTTGCGAGCGTGCAGCCGTTGCCGCCTATTTTGTCCACGGCTATGGGCTTCTGTGGATCGCCAATGCCGTAGCGCTTCACCAGTGGGTGGGACCAACATCAGTGTCCACAAGAATTTGGGCAGGCTTTGTAATTGTTCCATATTTGAATTCCTTGCAGGTGAAGTTCCTCCCATATTGGCTGTGACCTGTGCCTCAGGTAGGCTTTCAGGTAGTTTTGCCTTCAGGGCCCGTATCCATGATGGCTTCCCAGCTCACGGTATGTGTTGTGGCCAAAATCGTGGTCAGCCTGCCTGCCGGGGTCATATATGTTGTAGTTGGCGCTCCCACCGTACTTACCTGTCCTGCAGTAGGCGCTTCTGTGGTTTTCATGTCCTCCGTAGGGATTTGGGCTTCTGCGACATTGAACCTCTTGATGGGGTGATATGCTGCCACTCTTGCAGATCCATGCCCGCCACAGCTCCCGAGGCCACAGCCGAGATCGGACGTTAGGCGTCACGGGCTTCTTAGCAATCCTGCTCCTCATAGCGCACCACATTGTCGCAGCTACCACGGCCCCAACGACAACCGCACGCTGCGGGTGCATCGCTGCAGTGACTGCCCTCAGCAGTGACTGCACACATTCCATCGGCTGCAGAATGCGCTTGTCATCGCAAGAGTAGGCACAAAGGGCTCCGTGGCCTGCTGGGCAGGAAGTACTTCCACACTAGTGTGCCCACGGCGACAATCGCGTTGCGCGTAGGCATCTTTGCTGTTGCTGTGCCTGTCACGATGGTTGGTGCCACGGTGCTGCCGTGGCGAAAGGATCAGGAACCATGGGACGAGCAGTCAATTTTCGATGTTCCAGAGCGGTTTCCGTGTTCATTCGATCTGCAGCGTGAAGGAAGGGATGAGCGAGCGTGATTGCGATCCGATCTTGTTGTAGTGGTGCGGCTTTACTGTTGTTCAAAATGGTTTATCGTCCTATCTGATATAGAGGTGGCCACCCAGATCCATTAATAGCGGACAGAGGTTAATTTTCGTTAATTTTCCGTTAATTAACGGAAAATAACAAAAAAAAAACAAAAATTAACCAAAAATTAACGGATTTTTGGATTTTTTGGGGATTTTTGGGTTTTAGTCATACTTATAGTTTATGGAATTCGCTATTAGAGAGTATGTTTGTATTTTATTTCAACCTATGCATACTAGATTTTCAACTAGCCGCAGTTGTTGTGATTTTTTGGGGTTTTTTTCGATTTTTTTGGATTTTTTTCATTTTTTCTGAATTTTTCTCCCTTTTTCTTTAACGAAATTTAACGGGCAGCTGATAAAAATTAACGAACGGGACTTAACGGACCGGATGGCATCTTTGAGTGGCCACCTCTAATCTAGTATCAAAGTCATGGCATGGAAATGGCGGATGGAGCGCTGGTTAAAGGTGTGCTGTGGTTTTATACATTCTGGACATTATAGCAACCTCGTTTGCAAATTAGGACTCAGATTCGTTGAACATGCGCTCACATTGCTAGGCAGAACTATTGTAGCATGGCGCAAGGGGCGCCGGACCAGCGCCGCCGATGTTTCCGCAGGTTATATCCGCACCATATCCATAAAGCAAGATTAAAGGCTACCTCACGCTCACAGATGGCCTTGCGGCCAAGAGTCACAGAACGAAATGAAGTTTTACTCATGCTAACGATCTAGGAAAGTACCAATGACGGTGGAGGCGAAAAGGCGTCGCCCTCGTGATCTCGTGTTAGCTCGCGAGGTGATGTGTTCAGCCAAACGTATGGTGGTGAAGCTCATTTAAATCAATTGTGAAAATTAGCGCTTGCCGACGTGTGACATCATTGAGATATTGCAAAAGACGCAGGGCTACAATACTGCATTGCAAATACAAATTGGGGAACTGATCGGCGCAGTAGAGTCCGAAAACTTGGCCGCTGTCAGCCGGAGA